AAGTTATTTTCTTTAAGATTTATTAAAGATTATCTTAAGTAACTTTTATATAAAAAGAAATGAAATTATTATAAGCTTAATTTAAGGCTAAATAAGAAAGGTTTTCCTTATTACTAAGGTTATTGCTATTAATAATAATAATGAAATTATTATTTACCCCTTTTTCTTTTTATAAAAAACGAAAGTAAAGCATTCTTTCCTTTATACCCTACCTATTAGCCAGCTGCTTTAAACCATAATATAAAGGTTATTAATAAAATAATAAAAAAGGCATAAGCTATAATATATTTAATTACTTTATAAGTAAGTAAATTTATATACTTTAAAATATTAACATAATATTTATTAAATATTAAAAGGTTAAAAGAATTTAAGTATAACTTAAAGAAATACTTATTATTAAAAGATTTTAAGCTTTTATTTAAGAAAAATAAAAGGGAAAGTAATTAATTAATAAAATAAATAATAATATTAAGAAAGTAATTTATAATAAATTTATTAAATAATAATATAATAATTATAATAAGATTAAATATATTATAAAAACTTATAAAAAAGATATAAAAAACTTTAATAAATTAAATTTATAATAAATTATATTTTTAATAATATAATTAATATTAATTAATGCTAAATATATATTTTTTATTAAAAATTAATTATTTTAAATTAATATTATATTTATATAATTTATTTTAAATTAATAAAATTAATTAAAAATAAGGAATTAAAAGTAATTAACATTAATTAATATTAAACTTAATTAATTTATTTGCATTAAATAAGTATTAAAATTAATAAAAATTAAGTAATATTATAAAAATTAGCTATAAGATAATATTAACTATTTAATAATAAATTATATTATATATATTATTAATATTTTTATAAATTCCTTTTATTATTATTATTATATTTATATAGCTTTCCTTTAATATTAATAATATTAATAAAGTTTTTATTATTAATTATTATATTATTAATATTTTTAAGAGCATAAAAAGCTTTATTTAAATCATTATATATTTATTTATTATATATAAAAAAAATAAGCTTATTATTATTATTATTATTATTATTATTGCTATTAATAATAATAAAAAAGAAAAGGATAATAAGTAAGTAATGCTTATATTATACTTACCTTATATTTATATTTATAAAGGGTTAAAACCCTTAAAAATAAAACTTTTTTTAATAATTAAATAAGTTTATATATTTTATATACCCTTATTATATATATAACGCTTTTTTACGTTATTTATATTATATTTTATATTAATTAATAATATATTATAAATAGTTTTATAAAAATACTTTTAAATTTATTAAATTAAATATTATTATTATTTATATATAATTTAATATTTTTATATAACTTTTTATATTTTATTTATATATAATTTAAATAATTTTAATATTATTATAAATATTATATTTTATACTTTAAATTATTTTAATTATTTTAATTAATATTTAAGATTATATTAATTAATTATTTTAATAATTTAAAAAGGCTTTAAATATTTAATTAATATTATTAAATTCTTTTTAAAGCTTTTTATTAATATAATATTAATTATATTATTTTATTTATTTATTATTTATATAATTTAAATATATATATAATATTAATATAATTATTTTTTAAATTTTAATTCTTTTTATTTAATATAAATTTATTATATTAAAAATAATTTAAAAAACCTTATTAAGTAAGTTATTATTATAACTAATATATAACCTTAAAGCTAACTTTAATAAAAGTTTAAAATAAAAATTTTTTTTTTTAATAATTATTTATAATTATTTTATAAAGTTATTATAAAACTTTAAAAAAAAAAATAAAAAAAATATTTAAAATAAAAATAAATAATATAATAAAAGATAATTATATTATATTACTTTAAATTTATTTTTTATTATACATAACTAAAAAATGCTTTAAAATATTAAAAAATAATTAAAAATAAAGGGTAAAAAGGGGGTTTTAAGGTTTTTTTATTAATAAAATATAAATAAATATATTAAGCTAACGTAATTTATTAATAAGTAATTAATATTAATAAATAACTAATTTTTCTAACTTTACTTAACTTTAGCTAACCTTAATACTTACTTAATATAAAAAATTAATAAAAGTTAGCATTAATTAATATTAATTACTTTAAATTCTTTATTTTTTATTACTTTAATTAATTTAAAGTAATTAATATAAATATAATAAGTTTAAAATAAGTAATATTTAATAAAAAACTTATATTTTATATTAAATAATAATAATTATATTATTAAAAATATAATTTATTATAAATTATTAAATAAAAGATAATTATATTAATTAATATTAATTGAGCTAAATTTATTATAATATAATTATAATTAAATTAATTAAATATTTCTTTATTTATTTTATAATCTTTTATATTATACTTAATTTTATTATAATTATTACATTATTATTTAGCTAATTTATTATAAATTACCTTCTTAGCATTATTATTTATTTTATTAATTAGCTGCTTTCCTTTTTATTTTTCTTAAATAAAAATTTAAAATTCCTTAATATTAAGTTTTCTTTTAAGCTATATTTAAGTTTATTTAATCCTTTAGCATTTAATAAATATTATATTAATATCTTAAAATATATAGATTTACTTACTTATAAGAGTAATTAAATATATTATAGCTTATACTTCCTTTATTATTTAATTAATAACCTTTATAATTAATATAAAGAAGCTCCCTTAATAAGCGGAAATCTTATCTTTAATAAAACTTAATTGCTTAATAATTTACTAAGCGTTAAATAATGTTTAAAACTCTTAATATTAAAGAGAAATAAAAAGGAATTATATAAAAGTTTATAGGTATATATTAAGCTTAAAAATAATAAAATTTAAATCTTAAGAATTAATTTTAATTATTTTAAATATAAATTTAATATTATTTTTATAAAGGCTTTATTATAAGCTTTTATAAATAAAAAAAGAATTTAAACTTAATAATAAAATTAATTAAAGCTTAAATAAAAACGTTAATCTTATTATTATATATATATTTTAAATATAAATATAATATAATATTTAATAATTAAAATAAATAAGATAAATATAATAATATATTAATAATAATGATCTTATTATCTTTATAATATTAATTAAACTTAATTTATATATAACTTTTATAATTATTTATAATTAATATTTAATAATTAATATTTTTCTTTAATTTAATATGCTTATTAAAATATTAAATTTATTTTAAATTAATCTTATTATTTATTTATTTATTACAAATAAACTTAATAACTTAATTATTTAAAAAAACTTAACTTTATTACTTAATTAATAAAGTAATAAATGCCTTAAATAATTATAAATAATAAAATTTATAATTTACTTATATTAATATATTTAATAATTATTATTTAATTTTAATTATTAAGTTAAGTTAATTTAACTTTTATATATTTATTAATATAATTATTATGCTTATTATAAAGCTAATTTTATTAAAATTATAAAGGTTATTATTAATAATTTAATACTTAATTATTATATTATAAAGCAGCTTAAATTAATTTTTAATAATCTTTAAATCTTTATAAAAAGCCCTTTAATAATTATAAAAATAATTAAACTTAAGTTTTAAGTTAAATTATAAATTTATAAAGCATTAAGCTTAATGCTTATTAATAAGTTTTATATTTTATATTATTAATAATAAGTTAATTATATCTTTTATATTAAAAAATTATATAAGAAATCCTTATGTATTTTAATTAATAATATATAAAATAAGTATTTACTTTTTAATTAAGTTAAGTTTATAATTATTAATATATAATTTATTATAATAATATTCTTAAATTATTTTTTTTATAAAGTTTATTTTAAAATTAAACAATTTATCTTATTTAAGGAATATCAAGGGATTTTACGTTATTTTTTTTAAACTTATTAATTGCTTAAATAGTTAAAAGAATTTTATTTTCTTTTAAAAAAAGATACATATTATAATTATTAATTTTTAACGCATTAAATATTTAAATAAGTAAATTAAAGCAAAATTAATATAAAAAAATAAAATATAATTAACATTAAAAAAGCCATTTTATATAAACCTAAATAATTCTTAATTATATTATATTATTATTAACCCCTTTAAATTAATAAAATTAATTAAAAATAAGGAATTTAAAGCAATTAGCATTAATTAATATTAACTTTTATTAATTCTTTTATATTAAATAAGTATTAAGATTGATTAAAGTTAGGTAAAGTTAGAAAAATCAGCTGTTTATTAATATTAGCTACTTATTAATAAACCACGTTATATGTAAATTTAGACATTAACTTAAGGCTAAGGAATAATTGGAAAGCTAAGCAGATAGCAAATAAATTAATAATTAATTAATTTTTTAAAAAAAAAGTGTGGCCAAAGCCCCTGGAAAAACAAACCCGTACTCTTTGCCTTTTCTCGAGGTTGCAACTGTTCGCCTTTTCTCTCGTTTACTTGGGCACGGGTTACTATGGTGCAGGGTCGGTTTACCTTTCCAGTTCTTTCCCCGCCCAGCCCGGCCCTTTCCTACGCAAAGCTGCAAGCTATAATGTGACTTACGTCTAAGCAGAAATATGTACTTCGCCCTCGCCAATGGTGGCCCTGCGGCCTGGATCTTCAGCTATCTGGTTGTCGCGGCTGGTGTACTCTGCCAAGTGGCCACCTTTAGTGAGATGGCCTCAATCCAACCCATCGCGGGCGCACAGTACTACTGGAAGTGGCATTTCGCTCCTCTGGGCCTCAAAAGGTTTCTGACTTGGATGCAAGGTGGTCAACCTGCGCAGGCCATATAGCATTACTTGCGAGCTGCCTGAACGGAAATACGGTTGGCTATCTTGGAGGGTGTGATTCAACTGGCCCACCCAGAATACGTAACTGGTGGCTGGCACACTGCTCTTATAATGATAGCGATGCTGGTATTCTGTGCTGTCATCAATATGTATGCGTTCTGGCTCGTCCCGTGGTTCGAGCTGTTAACTGGGTTTCTCAACGTCTCCATGGTTATCATCATCTTCGTTGTCCTCTGGGCCGTGGCCCCTCGAAACAGCGTCGACATCTTTATGCAGACCAACGTGTCGTCTGGGTGGGACAATTACTTCGTCTCTGCCAACCTCGGGGCTCTGTCCAACATCTACCTATTCATCTGTAAGTCTCACCCGTCACCTCGCCTTCGCCAAGACCTGACTGAAACTGGAATCGCAGCCTTCGAAAGCGTGGTTCACATGGGCGAGGAGACACGGAATGCCAAGTCTGCCGTGCCTTTCGCCTTATTTTGGTCCACGGTGACTAATATCGGCATGGGTCTCATTATGATAATAACTTTTGCTGTAAGTGTGGATCTATTAACGGACTGCTGTGAAACGGGTCACTTTAGATATCAAACTCATTCTGACCTCTAAACTTTACAGATGGGAATGCCATCACTTAATGTTCTGCTAGACTCGGCCAGCCCTATTGTTACCACATTGCTATACGCCACGGAATCAACGAAAGCCACAATCGCCATTGTGAGTGGATTGGTTGTGCTCGGAGTCTCCGGAACCATGGGCGTCGTCTCGTCTGTCTCACGCTTAACATGGGCATGGTCGAGAGACGGCGGGCTGCCTCAGTACTTCGGCCATGTCGACGGGGCTCAACGAGTGCCTCTCCGGGCCGTGGTACTAGCAACGACCATCGCATCTCTGCTCTCTCTTCTCAACATTGGAAGCAGCACATATATCGCTTTCAGCGCTATTACATCGCTTTCAACGCTCGCCATTTATTTGAGCTATGCCATTGTGCTCGCCTGCGTTTTCCACGCCCGGCTCAATGGCCAATTCGAGCCTGGGCCGTGGAACCTTGGCCGGGCTGGCTCTATTATCAATGTGCTTGGGCTGATCTATACGATCTACGTCATGGTCTGGCTTCCGTTCCCCAATTATCTTCCTGTCACAGCAGCGAATATGAAGTATTGTGGTCCAGTGTTTGGTGTCATACTAGTTGGCGTCGTCATTTTATGGCTCATCCGGGGCAGGACATTTTGGGATGGTCCCAATCGTGCAGTGGTGGAGCACGTGCTCAGAGAGGAAAGTTGGCTTGATCAGGCTCTGAGAGAAAGGAATGTATCGTGCTTGTGCTGGAACTAAAAAGCTGCACCAGCAGGATTCCCTCGGAATCAGTCAGAAATGTGTGAATGCTATTCGAAATGTGTATGTTGATGGGTCCTTTGGTGTCAGAAATAGACCAATTTGATTATTTGCAAGTGTAATTATTGTGTCGAGTGATTTATCTAGACCGCAAGCACTTGATTATGTGAGTATTCTGGGCGGATTTTACCTTGTAGATATGGATCATTCCAGACACTCTGGCTGAGGTAGACATGTTCAGCGGTTAAGTGGTCCCAAAACTCAAGCATTTGAATTACTCTCATGCTTTCGATTCCAGCTCTGCATTGAAAATTAAGGGTACAGGCAGTTGCGTGGTGTTTTAGGTAAAAGCCCTTGTCCTGCTCCATTCCTTCAATGCCTAGTATTCATAGTCGTGACTCACGCCACGCCAAAAACACTCTGACAAGTGTTCGTGGCCGGATGTACTCAACTCGTACATACTTTCGCAGCAAGTCGAGACCATATCAAACCCGGTCCTTGTCCGGATCAATGCGCTTCACGACATCATAATAAAACTCCGCCACTCGCTTGCATGCTCGACGAGTTATTGTGTGTGTATTGCACTCATGCTTGAGACTACCGAATGAGTATCAGAAATTAGTTACGATGCAAGCCCACAGTGATGTGCCAAATCTATGGCCACTTACTCTTCCAAGAACTGGTCATCGATGCGGCGCTTCGTTGCTTTGTTCAATCTGCCCTGCTCACGGTAGTTGCGGATGCCAAAATCGTGACGGTGACAGGCAGGCAAGAAGTTCCAGGTGACGATATCGTCGGGTGCCTTTGTGCACCCATCGGACGACTAGTCGAGGGTGGGAGGGTGACGAGAATCTCGTTTGGTCTCGAATTCATTGATAGAGAAGCGAAAAAGATATTCGTCGGTCATTTCAGTGACGTTGTCAGGAACGTAGCCACCGTTGATATTGGAGCCGGCATGAGCCTCTCCACCTGGTGACTGGGTGTTGGTTGGATTTTGATCATTGTATGGTTCAATGACTTGTGTAGCTGTCTGGGGAAAGAGCATGTGTAATGCGACAGCACTCGCATGGTCAAGGCCCGGAGTATCGACGACAGTGGGTAAGGCCATCGTCAGGGAGATGACGGAGAGGACGAAGACGAGAACCTTCATCGTGAAGTCGTAATTCTCAAGCGTGGGACAATGTTTGCCAGCCAGCCCTGGAGATTTCGCGGCTAAGGATTGCCCTGCACACGAGATACCGTGAGGCAAGTGGTAACCGAAGCAGGTGATAGCGATAGCAGCAAAGAAGTGTAGTAGGATATTTGGAGAGGAGACTCCCAGTTGCTGAATTTGCATCGGGTGAAAGGCATCTCATACGTGTGAATTCGAGAGTTTTCGGAGGTTCAAAGCAGCAGAGACGTGAGCTCCTTCCTAGGTGTACTCGTAACCGAAATTGCATCAGAAGTCACGGTGCTGACAGCTTGAGCACAACCCACCGCCTTCTGGAAGGCAAGCGCAAGGCCTGCTGGTAAAGTCTACGTGTCCACCAGGCCAGGAAGTAGCCATAGATACACAGCACATCAGTGACGCTACCGAGAACAAGGTGGTAAGAAGGCCTATGATAGTCCTGTGATACTTGCCGTTTAGTCTAGATGCATGGAGCCGCCCGGGCCATCGCCTTGCGAGGTTACTGGTACTAGATTCCGAATGCCTTCAGTACGGCCAGGCTTACGACTGGATACCCCATGATCTTGTCGTGCACACCGTACTGGGTGATGTGCTCTCTGGTGTCGCCTTTGTTCGACCCGTGTGTGACAGACCAGCCCCCTGCGTCCACGTGCACCCTCGCAGCTTCCTTCTGCTCGTCAAGCTCTTCAAAGCTAATACCGGCAGGCAAGGACGCGTTCACGGCGTGCCAGAACAATTGCTCACTGTGATGCCACGGTATGGCGAGGTCGTCTTTTGCGTGAATGATGGAGATGTGGTACGTCTTTGAATCGACCGGCAGGGCCTCACATTGTCGAACAAAGCCAGCCAGCCTCTCTTTGGTCGGCCATTTGTCCAGTATGAACGTATTGAGGAAATCGAAGACGAGAGGAAAGCGTGCAATGGGACCAAGAACAGGGATTTTGCCCGCGATACTGTAGGTAGCCGTGAGCGAGGGCACGTCGGCGAAGGGCGCGACGAGAACAAGTCCCGAGAAGAGGACTGGCCCATGGCGAAGAGCCATGTGGTGGACCAGACTAGTAGCAACTGCAGTGCCCAGAGACTGGCCCCAGACGATGATTCGATGTGCTGGGATGCCAGCTTCGGCCATGGCCCAGTCGACCAAGGTCGTGGCATCCGTCAGCAGCCCATGTTCAGAAGGGGTCCCGGTGCTCAGGCCAAACCCGCGGTAGTCCACGGCCACGATGTGAATCCTATCTGGTGCACCAGCAGATGCAGCCCGGTAGCTGGCTGGTCTGTGACCTGAGCCCAAGGTTCCTCCGGCGCCGTGCAGGTACAGAACCAGCAACGACTCAGGATCGCCTCGCAGGAGCTCAAATGCCAGCCTCTGCTTGAAGCTGGGTGCAAGTCCGGACGGCTCCTCCAGGATCCCTTCTTGGTGCCGACGATAGAGCCCCATCGGCAGGATGTGCCAAGCATGCAGCGTCTCCCCATCTGGCGTGTCGAGGGCGAAGGGGGTGACCTGGTTGTGCAAGAAGCCCCATTGCTCGGGAATGTTGAGATCCTGGCCCCATGTTTGAGTGAGACTTTGATGAATAGATGACCTGCCTCTGAAGTGACGGAACAGTGAGCAACGCGAGGAACACAGCATACACGCCAGCCGATGCAAGAAACGCGTAGTGCACAGACCGCAGCAGAGAAGCATGTCTGGCCACCGTGCCCGAGGCCATCTTGCCCATCACGCGGCGGTTGTTCGGGGCTGCAGGAGGAGGGCAGACCGGGCTTCTTTGTACCGTAGGTGGCAGAATGGCCGGAAGGAATCCGGCTGCTAAAATCAAACCGAAGTTCCAACACAAACAACCCTACACTCATTTGCCCAGGAAACAACAGTGACAAATGGTCTTGGCGACGCGACGCAGGGCGACAACAGGGTGCTCTCTTCTGCGACCCACGCCGCCGCCGCATCCCAGTGCCTCTCCCTGTTCTTCTACCGTGCTCTCGTCCGAGTCGTGTGCTAGCTGATCGATGTGAATTATTGGTGAAATCCGCCCTGACTTGCCACGAAATAGACTCTGCAGACATGTCGGCTTCGGTGCTCTATCTCGAACTCCGTCGTGGATGAATCGCTGCAGACCAGCGACATCTCCTGTGTACTGCACTTCTCGATGGTCCGGAAACACTCTGCCATGCCACGAGGCTGAGTTCTCTCCCCGTCGGTCTCGATGAACTGTGGGTTGTTGAAACGATTGCTCCTGCAAAACCTGGATCGACGACGCGCCTCCGGGAAGGACTTCCATGGCCTCTGTTGGTGACGAGTTTGCATGCCTCTTGCATCTTCAAAAACATATACCGGACCTCGGTTTGATACGTGTTAGACTCGTCGAATTTCATAATCGGTGATATGATCTCTATGCCGTCTTTCCTTCAGTGTTAGCGAACTCAACTAGGACACACAAAGGTAGGGCTTTCTTTTGGAGCACACCCACAGATATTCTTGACCTCGTCGCCGCCTTTAATGCTCTCATCTACCGTCAGTGACCATTCCGCAAATCTTTCACCCTCCCAGTTTCCACGTGGATCCGAGTGCATCTTTCTTTGTCCTTTGGGGATCGTGGTATTATGGTTCATTGGCAAATGTTCGGTGAGCAGGTGAAGACTTTGTCCGGACGAGTCCCTGTCTTTTGGGCGGAGCAGGACCTCAATTTCAAGCCCAACGTTTAGGTATGCATGTGAAGAGCTGCCAGGCAGGTCATCATCATGGAAGACTCCAAGCAAAGGCATGGCGTGAAGTCAAAATAATGCGGCGGGTATGTCAAGGATCTTGGCAGAGACGCTTGTCGTGGCTCGTCCCCCCACTTGAGTTCCGTGCTTACAAGTGCGTGAATGAACAAGATGTACGGAAAATCTGCTTTGGATCTTTTGCAGCTACTTACATGGCGGAATAGGGCTTTTTTACGACTTTTCAGACATGAATGCAAGTTGAAGGCACTTGTGGACGGACCGTAGCCGGCCGTCTGGCCCTGCTCAAGTCGTCTCCAGACAGGTAGAAGTGTGGCACTCTTTGGCTACATTTTTTGTTTTGATACCTCTGACGTTGGGCTTCCAGCAGGTTCGAGCCAACCAAGTAATCGTCGCGAGGGCCTTGCGCATGGCCGCTACCTCAGCATGCGACTCGAGTGATTGTTCTGATGCGTGCAGGGATCCCGGTAAGGCGGCCGGACCTGGAGTTAGGGCCATGCTGACAGCTTCACCTGTTCGAGACGTGTCTCGTCCAGTCTTGTTTGATCCTTTGAACTTTAGGCCCATGTCGTGTGAATTCAGTCCGTTGAAGTCCTTAGCACAGTAGCATGTTTGACCGCAAAGCAATGAAGAATAGGCCGTCTCGACAGAGCACGCGCAAGAATGGCCTGTGAACTTGAGCTGTGCTGCATGCGTCAACTATCAGTTCTAACGACACAGACCAGACTTTATGATTGAATTGTGCCAGCGATTTCATTCTTCAGTCCAACTCAAACTCATTATTGACTGTAGACCTTGAAGCCGAAGCCAACCTGAACCAGCCAATTTCATGCTTAGCTCTTAACAGTTTCCCTAATGCATTTCGAAACTGAAAACGGAGTGGAAATTATCGTCCTTTGTACTTGTAAGAGATCCTGGAATTTGGTCCAGACCTTGGCGGCGAGACTGAAGCAGAATACGAATGGCATTGCCATTTTATGGCGCACGTCGATTGACTTTTGCGGGCAGGCCTGTTGAAGTCAAAATAAGGCACATTGGACTTTTCCCATCCCTTAAAAGTTTTTCGAGGAAATCATATTCTGACGAACACATTCCATCCGAACTTGTGTTTACTTGAGCTTTGCAGTGAACTGCAGAAGGAGAAGCTTAAAAGCCATGTTACTGCTGGCATATAAACAAACTCAAATTCACCATTTCTCCACAACTCATCTTTATTTAAGGTGGTGTCGGGTCTATGCGCAAACATGGATGGAATTTTATACTGCTCCTTATACTCAAGGATGCCCGACTGCACTTGGCTGAGCCTCAAGGCGTGGCCGCGTATGTAATGCGTAGGCATTGTGCCGCTAAGCCCCCTTCAAGTTTTTCTCGCCCCGGCGGCTATGTGTGCTGTGGATCAACCAGCACCAGCCTCTTGATAATGCTACATGTGTACCTCTTGGCAATGCTTCTAGGGCGTGCACACTGTGTGTTACAGTACGCTATATAGGCGATAGCCACGGTAATGCTCTCGGCATTACAACGTCCCTCTTTTGGGTGTTTAGCGCAATAGGCTTTCTTGTGCCGTGACACTGTGACAGCTGCGTCAGGAATAGCCTATCTGAAGCAGCTCACATGAACAGACTCCCGCGACCCGCAGTATATTTGTTACTTTTATCCAGCTGGACCCAACACCCAGGCCCGCAGGGTCTGTGAACGTCACTCTTGAGATCATGTAAGATATTCCAGGGGCAATCCATGTGGCATTCCGTTGCGAGCTTGCGCCTAGCAGGCGTGGGCGACGCGCAACTAATGCAACGTTGGAATTAGAATCCCTCGTCAGTGCTGCGTGCTCGGCGTGGGTAGTTTACATGAGATCGCGGGCGTCTTGGGCCTTCGTCATGTTGAATCCTCGAAGGCACTATCACCGACTCCAGGAGTCTTCCCTCGCTGCAATGATTCGGTCTGGTCCGGCCAGGCTTGGCTTCCTACGAGCAGACTCCATGTAGCAGTACTGAGTGATTCTACCGTTCCTGAACCTGGACTCGAGGATGAGCAGTGGCCATCAGAGACAGCTGGATTGCAAGGTAAGGACCCAGTAGACTACCGCTACCCAATCTCTTAAGGGAATGGGGCCAATCTCCCAGCCGACAGTGCCACTGCAGGGAACACAAAGTTCCTGGGAAATGCGTGCTTAGTGATTGGCCATCCCCGGAAAAAAGAGGGCGTCTACATCCCACGTCCCGAGGCTGACGTGTGTTGACATCTAGTTATGGCCAATCCCCGACGAGATTTTTCAAATCGGGACCCAGCAGATCTAAATGCAGCAAGTCTCGGCGTTGGATTTGTGGCTGTCTTGTCCCGTGGGACCCGCCCGCTTCCCGTCCGCGTACGCAAGGCTTGGCGCTCGTGCTGCCCGAGGACGACTAGGCTGGACCCAGGAAGCATCTCAACCGAGGCTGGAGCTGACTTTTCGCCGCAGGTTCATTGGGCGAACATGTTTGCGTGTACCACCGGGTCGGAATTAAACATGTTTCCTCCCACAAGGCTGGTCTTTTCTTAGTAGGGACCCAGCACAGCCGCCCACGTTTCCCCTGAGTACGCATGTCTCCGTCCTTGAATGCCACACGGCCCCTGTATAGCGGTCCATCCAGTCCCACAATTCACACGACTGGCCCTCAACGCCGTCGACCTTCTCCAGGAACTGCGGAATCAGCCACGATCAAGTTGATATCATAGCCCACAGGACGCGTAACGGGGCGACGACGGGAGAAGACAATCATGGCTATAAGACATCGCGATGGCCTCAGCCCATCATCGGCCTGCAGTTACTCATCACCACACTCTCGCATCAGCCTCATCTAGCACAGCTTTCTCTTCAGCCATTCTCTTTCCTCACAGTCTTTCAGCCACACAAGCCACTCGCTCTCCATTCTTCAGCATCGAGCCTTTTCCTCGACCAGCAAGATGCGTTTCACCAGCACACTGATCCCAGCGCTTCTCGCCGGCTCGGCGGCTGCTCACCCCGGCCACTCGGTGCTCGAGGAGTTGCAAGAGCGCCGTGACTACATGTCCAACGCCCAGGCCCGTGATCTTAGCCACTGCTCGGCTAAGCTCAAGGCACGCGGCATCGAGGCGAGGAACGCCGCGCGCCGCGAGCGGACTGCTGAGGCTGCTCGCGCCAAGCGTGGTCTCAAGACGCAGCAGGACCTCGACACTGTCCTGGCCACCGACCACAACGCCACCGACCTTGGCTACACCGCCAACACTGACGCAGCAACCCTCTTCACCGGCAATGCGTCCTGCATCCTGACTCCCGACGTCACTCAGGGCCCCTACTACGTCGGCGGCGAGTACATCCGCCGGGACATCCGCGAGACTCAGGAGGGTATCGACACTGTCCTGGACTACCAGGTCATCGACGTCAACACTTGCGAGCCAGTGCCCAACGTTTACCTTGAGATGTGGCACTGCAACTCCACCGGAGTGTACTCCGGTGTGGTCGCCTCCGGAAACGGCGACAGCAGTGACGAGACCAACATCGACAAGACCTGGCTGCGTGGCATCCAGTCCACCGACGACGACGGTGTTGCACAGTTCGAGACCACCTTCCCCGGTCACTACACGAGCCGTGCCACCCACATTCACATTCTGATCCACACCAACGCCACCGTGTACCCCAACGGCACCCTCGGCAACGAGGTTACCTCCAGCCACGTCGGGCAGGCGTTCTTCGACCAGGACCTGATCTACGCTGCCGACGAGATCTCGCCCTACAGCGATAACACGCAGGTGATCACCACCAACGCCAACGACAGCATCTTGGCCGAGGAGGTTGCCACTGACGGTGTCGACCCCTTCTTTGAGTTCACCTACCTCGGCGACGAGCTGGCCGACGGCCTGTTTGCATGGATCGCTTTCGGCATCAACGCCACTGAGAGCAGCACTGTCACTCCCGCTGCGTTCCTCTACGAATCTGGTGGCGTGGCCAACGCTGCCTCTGGCGGTGGTGGCGGTGGTGCTCCCCCTTCCAAGTAAATGGGGATAGCTAGTCTTTTGGGAGTCGGGTGGCGGAAAAAGTGTGGGAAGGGAGGTCCTGGATAGATGCTATGCGCCTGTTTTTTTTTTATGTTTATAGGGATGGGCTTGTTTATAAGAATCAGCTAAGCATACATGTATACACTTGAAATGTATCATTTGACTCTGTCATATCATATAAAAACTGTGCTTCGCTGTGATTATCTCAAGCCATGGGAGGGCTGATTGAATCAGTCCTCATGAATACTCCAACCGTTGTGAGCTCATAGGTGACGTGAACATACGGCATGTCCTACTCTTCCAACCCCATCAGAGCCCATGCTCCACACAACAGCATCCCACGAGTCTCTTTGGTGAAATGACTAGAGGCAGGTGCACTCGAGGCCAAACTCTCTAACTGCAGTGCACACCTTCTCGTGCCATACTTGTTATAAGTGGTCTCGTTTTTAATCTGTACATATATGCTTCTTAAGCAATATGCACCCAGTCCCTTTATATAATAATAAACGCTTAAATATCTAATGTTAAAGAAAAGATAATATTAATAATAAAAGGTTTTAAATATAATTATTTATAGCTTATGGCTAAGAAAATAATAGTAACCTTATAATAATTATATAAATAAGGTTAGCAAGAACCGTTTTTAGCGGCGCTATAAACTATTAATATAAATATTTTAAAATTAATTCGCTATAACGCTTTAAAGTTAAAGTTAAGCAATTAATTATATAGCGAAAATTAAAATATTTTTTATAAAATGTAATAATTTTATAATTATAATTTTAATTAAAAACTTAATTTCTTTTTATTTATATTAATATATATTTTATATAACCTTTTAAGAAAACTTACATTAAGTAAGTTATTATTATAGCTAATATTTAACCTTATAAATATTAACTTTAATAAAAGTTAAAATAAAAAAATGCCTTTCTTTAAAATATTGCAAAACTTTTAAAGAAAAATAAAAATAATATTTATAATAAAATAAATAAAAATAAAGAATATAATAAAATTATACTTTATTAAATTTATTAATTTGTTATTAATAATGAAATTACCCTTAAAAGGATTAAAAAGAAATTAAAAAATAAGGGTAAAAAGAAGTATTATAATATTTCTTTAAAAAAAGGGAATAAAAATAAATATTAAGCTATATGTAACTTTATATATAAGCTTAAAAAGGGTTTATTAAAAAGATAAATAAATAATAAATAAATTAATAAATAAGTAATTAAAAAAACATAGCGTGGTTAAAGCTATATTTAAGACGGTCCTTACGTTGAAATGATAATAAAGGCATAATATAATAGTGAAGAATAGTTAATTTATAACTAAGCTTGCGTAAGAAAAAGAAAAGAAAAGGAAGAATTACCAAAAGGGCAAATTAAAGTGGTTTTAAAGGCCAGTTGGGTTAATAAGATAAGCCATTGTGCGTGGAAAGCGAAACTATCCCCCGCCCTGTCTTTTTAACTCGCGCTCCCCCCTCCGCCCTTAAAATCCCAATTTTAAAATCTAATTAAAATTCATTATAACTTTATAATAAAATATTAATAATATAATACTTATAATCATGTTAATATTATTTATATTAAATATTTAAATATTAAAATAAGAATATATAAAAATTATATATTAGGATTAATTATATAAATAAATATTTAAAATATTAAATTTTAATGTTTTTAATTTTTATTTTTCATTTTTTATTTTTTATTTTTTATTTTTTATTTTTTATTTTTTATTTTTTATTTTTTATTTTTTATTTTTTATTTTTTATTTTTTATTTTTTATTTTTTATTTTTTGTTTTTTGTTTTTTGTTTTTTATTTTTTGTTTTTAGTTTTTTATATTACATTATATTATATTTTAAGTATATATTAATAATATTTTATTATATTTATTAATTATAAGAAAATATAAAGAAAAAAGATAATAACTTAATATATAACGTAGTTTACCACTAAGTGGTTCATATCAGCAAGTAGTTTAATTTTATAATATTTATTAACTTATATTAACCCCAGCACTCACTTAATGCAAAATATTTAATAAAATTTAGCTTTAATTAATGCTAACTGCTTTTAATTGCTTATTTTTAATTAATTTTATTAATTTAAAGGGATTGGCATGGTTATAATATTAATTTAAATAAATTAACTTTTGGTGGGAAATATGCATTTTGCATTAACTAATGCTAACTTTACTATTAAAAACGCGGTTTGCTATAAACCATTAATATATATATATTTATATTAATTAATGTTAATTATATTAAATTTGCTATAATATAATTAAAATTTAATTTAATAAACCCTTCTTCCTCTTTCTTATATATTTTTACATTATGCTTAGTCTTGCCGCAAGTCTTATAGCATTGTTTGCTTAATCTGCTGCGAATCGCCTCCTTTATCCTATCACTTATTTTATTAGCTAATTGCTTCCCCTTTTATTTTTTTTAAATAAAAGCTTAAGATTCCTTAATTATAAATGCTTCTTTAAGCTATACTTAGGTTTTTTTAGCTTATTAATATTTATCAAGTATTATATTAGCTTCTTAAAGTATATAAATTTGCTTGCTTATAAAAGTAATTAAATACGCTATAGCTTATGCTTTCTTTATTATTTAATTAATAGCCTTTATAATTAATAAAAAGAAGCTTTCTTAATAAATAAAGATTTTACTTTTAATAAAACTTAATTACTAAATAATTTATTAAGCATTTAATAATATTTAAGACTTTTATTTTTAAGGAGAAATAGGAAAAGATTATATTAAAGTTTATAAGTAAATATTAAGCTTAGAAATTATAAAATTAAGGTTTTAAAAAAAATTCCGGCTTTTTTAAATATAAATTTAATATTTTTTATTATAAAAGTCTTATTATAAGCTTCCTTAAATATAAGAAAAAACTTAAATTTAGTAATATAATTAATAAAAGCTTAAATAAAGAAATTAATTTTATTATTATATATATGCTTTAATAATAAATATAATATAATATTTAATAATTAAAGTAAATAAAATAAATATAATAGTATATTAATAATAATAATCTTATTATTCTTATAATATTAATTAAACTTAGTTAATATATAACTTTTATAATTATTTATAATTAATATTTAATAATTAATATCTTTCTTTAATTTAATATATTTATTAAAATATTAAATTTATTTTAAATTAATTTAATTATTTATTTATTTATTAAAAATAAGCTTAATAACTTAATTATTTAAAAAACTTAACTTTATTATTTAATTAATAAAGTAATAAGCGCCTTAAATAATTATAAATAATAAAATTTATAACTTATTTATATTAATGCATTTAATAATAATTACTTATTTTTAATTATTAAGTTAAATTAATTTAGCCTTTTTATGCTTATTAATATATATAATAATTATTAATAAAATAATTATATTTATTATAAAGTTAATTTTATTAAAATTATAAAAATTATTATTAATAATTTAATACTTAATTATTATATTATAAAAAAGCTTAAATTAATTTTTAATAATCTTTAAATTTTTATAAAGAGCTTTTTAATAATTATAAAAATAATTAAACTTAATCTTAAGGCTTAATTATATATTTATAAAGCATTAAGCTTAATGCTTATTAATAAATTTAATATTATATAATATTAATAAGAGGTTAATTATATTTTTTATATTAAAAAATTATAAAGAAAATCCTTAGGTATCTTAATTAATAATATTTTAAATAAGCATTTATTTTTTAATTTAATTAAGTTTATATTAATTAATATATACATCTTTATAAGATTATTATTAATTTATTTTATAAAGTAAAATAGTTTTAAGAATATTAAAGATTTATATAACTTAAGCTGCATTAAGGGGTTTTATATAATTCTTTTTAAATTTCTTAATAGCTTAAATAATTAAAAGAATTTTATTATCTTTTAATAAAGAATATATATTATATTTATTAGTTTTTAATGCATTAAATATTTAAGTAAATAAATTAAAGCAAGATTAATATAAAAAACTAAGGTGCGATTAATATTAAAAAAAGCCTTTATATTAAAACCTTAATAATTCCTAATTATATTGCAATTATACCAACCCCTTTAAATTAATAAAATTAATTAAAAATAAGCAATTAAAAGCAGTTAATACTAATTAATATTAAATTTTATTAAATATTTTGCATTAAATAGGTGCTAAGGTTAATACAAGTTAGCAGATATTACAAAATTAGATTACTCGTTAATACGGACCACTTAGTGGTAAACCACGTTATATTATTTAAAAAGTTATTTTAATATTAATATTTTATTATATATAATATTTTAGTAAAATTCCTTAAACTTTAAGGTTTATAAATATATATTATATATGTTATATATTCTTATTTAATTAAATTAAGGTATTAAAGAAATTGCGAATTTTTTAAGTTTTTGTTGTTCTGCAGCGAAGGGGGAGCGCGAGTCAAAAAGACAGGGGGGGGTAGTTTCGTTTTCCACACACAGCAACCAGATGGGCCCAGAGGGCCCCTGCGCACGCTCAACCCCACGGCCCTGACAATACTTGGTATAAACACACCTTTCATCCATTTTGTTTGCTGTACTTGGTGTGACGAAGGTGCAGTAGGTATCATTCTCTGTCATATTCCGCCCTGGAAGGACTTGAATGTTCTCAATCGGCATCAACGTTCGAATAACCCATGTATTGGGTGAAGCAATCGCCGCTCAAACGCCCTTCTATCTGCCTTACAAAAGCGTGATTATGTAGAAATTCAGATCCCCATAGATGTCGTACTGCTACGCGCAATGGATTAGAGTATTTCAAAGGCCTGTAAAGACATCATTGGCAAAGAGCGAGGTAGAATGGTACGCCCTGTCGGCACTGGTTCTGTGTGTCTTTTGTGCAGAAGGGGGCCAGGCGGGGTGTTGGGGGGGGGGCGGTGCTGTGAAGCACTCACAAAATTGGACATTTCTCACATGACACTTAAATTATAGCATTTGACCGTGCTTCATGTATGTTTGTTTCTTACTCGCGTAATCTTCTAACTTGAAGATGTCGCGGTCTGAGCTTGATTTCACCTGGAAGATGCCAGGGCATGGAGGTGGACGAGTTCATCCGCTGTTGAGCGTCACCTGCATCAGTTACCACCGATTTTAGGCTCCCTCAGAACTCGGTACGCCAGAAATTGCATTAGATTAGAGTGGTGAACAAAAGTAGAATGCAGTCACATGTGCAAACGTATCTGGGAGGCAGTAAACCAAAGTTGGTCGATACGTGAGTTCTTCCATTCCGTAGTACCTGTCACCCATTCCTGCGCTCCAGTGGTGAACAAATATTTGACCAAACTCGAAGAAGGCGATATCATGGAAACTTAGGGCCCGATCGTGACTGTTGAATTGACTGAAACATTTGCTAGCGGTTGACCTAAACGCCCTCTTTCCCTGATGATGCACTCTATGGTTACAATAACCCGCTCGCTGGCTAAAACCCGTCGGTATCAGATGCGCTTTCCCAAAATCACAATCCTCGCTTCCCTGTTCCGCTCAAAGCTCCGGCCAGGTACATGTGGTTGACTGAAAGTGCCTGTGTGGTCATAACAATATGCGTTGCCTAGCCATTCTGCCCTGCTTTTGCTCTCCGAGTTTCCGTGTATAGTTAAACAAACAACGCTGAACGTAAGGTGCCGAGTTTTGAAACACGATTTCAAGTCGATGGCATTCGGGGGTTCGAAGTCATCATTTCGCCTCAGATCTCTGTTTGCAGGCTCGGATCAGCATTGAACGTTAAGCCCTGCTGTGCGCAGTCGACACTTACCACTGCATGTGCAGTCCTGGCGTGTAGCTGCGTCTAATGTGGGAAAGCCAACACAAACGAGGCCTCGACCGCAGACCTGCCGCGATGTACCACATTCGGCGTTAGTGCAAGGGCCGGCGAATTGCGCGGTGGCTGCAACAGCCAGGGTGAAGAGAGTCGCGATGATTGAGGTGTGCATTTTGGAGGTTTTGGGGTTGACACGGCTGGTAGTATGTTGAAGGTGGTTTTGGAGTGTGATTGTGTAGAGAGTTGGTTAATTGGAAGATGTACCAATGAGGCCAAGCCCTGCGTTCCTTTTGGGACGTTGATACTTTATATCAAATGTTCATACAATGTTTTGGCTAATGTTAGACATCAAGTCATGGTGTGGATCAGATAGCGCGCACTGGAGTCTGGACTACAATGTCTATTCCTGGCGTTTCATACGGGCTGCGGCAACTTGCAAGTGAGGCTTGGCCTTGCACAAAGTGGCATTGATCGTCAAGGTCGACCGATTTAATCAAAGCCTTGGCCGTCTTGACGTGACTCGAGAGCCGCCCAGGGCAAGTCTTTTCCACTTTAATAGGTTCCGGGTAGTGCCGGCTTCTCCAGCAGACAAGCCTGGCAGCCTGTTAGAGCCAAAGTGCCCAAGACATTCGAGTGCAGCCAAGATGCTTAGCCACTGGGCTTCAGCTGCTTGTATAAATCCCGCAGAGCTTGACTGACGAAGCATGCGGCTGTTTCAAACCGCGTAGCACGTTTCTTGTGCCTATACCAAGTCACCTCTGACGGCAGTTGTCTCCGTCCACACACGAAAAGGGGGGACGTGTTGGGATATGAGGCAGCTTGTTCACCCTGATGGAAACAAACGACCACGTAGGCGATCAAGATTAGAAGCCGTTTCAATTACCGACAGTAAACAACCACTACCACATTATGGTAACCAACCGGAAGGGCCGATTAGCCCCCTCTGGAAGTCACTTCGGTGGCACCACACTCCTGCGTCGTCACGGCTTGTGTGCAGCTGTTTTAGGGAAAGGTGCCCAGATGCCACCTAGGGGCGGTCTAGGGCGGTGAGCATCCATCCTCCTTTTGCTTCTCGTAGTCAGTAAATGGCTGTAAACTCATGGTTGTCTTCGTGGAAATTTTGCCCATGTAAGGTGATAGGTCTGCAAATACCGTATAGACAGAGAGGTACATATAAGCTTCGGTGCCTGTCCAGATACATAATTCGAACATTCAAGTACACGTGGTACTCTAATGTCCAACAAACGTCTGCATCGTCTCGTTGTACCTGTTGCCAACAGGCTTGGCATTGTCGACAATCCTTCGAAGCTCCTGCTTCTCCTCCATCGTCAGGTCCATATCCCGGGAAGCCCAATTTTCCTCGAGGCGGCTGGCCTTCGTCGTGCCCGGAATAGCAATCATCCCCTGGGCTGCAACCCACGCTAGTGCAATCTGGGGCAAAGTGCACCCCTTGCGAGCAGCGAGCTTCTTAATTTCCTCTACAATCGCCTTATTCTTATAAAAGTTCTCTCCTTGAAATTTTGGAACAGTGTTTGTTTCAGATGATATTAGCATCAGGGGAGCCCATCCCACCAGGGACAATACGCATAAGTCTATCTTATACGCGTATCAGCAACTTACCTGTGCGGCGGAAGTCATCGGGAGCAAAGTCGTCGGGTGATTTGTGTGGGAAATTGTCCACAAGCCAGCCATGCCCAAGGGGGCTGTACGCAACGTAGGCCACTCCAAGTCCCTTGGCAGCATCGATCAAGCCATCTGTCTCGTGCAGTGTCTCAAACGCCGAGTACTCTGCTTGAAGGGCATCGATTTTGGCAACTGTTTTTTGAGTGTCAATACAAGTTCGTGGTCATGAAAAGTTGATTATGCTCACTCGAATTGGCCTTGCGCAAAGTTTTCGCGGAGCATTCCGAGAGGCCAATAAACTTGGTCTTACCTGCCTTTCGGATCTCATCGAGAGCCGAGATGGACTCTTCGAGAGGCGTGTCTGGAACAATTTCGTTAGCAAAAAGATATGAAAGTAACGGAGCGAGGAAACGTACTAGGTTCAATGCGGTGGAGGCAGTAGAGGTCTGGGGTGAAGCCGAGTCGCTCGATCGTTCCCTCGATGTAAGTCTTGATATGAGACGCCGAGTTGGTGACGCTTCCGTCGCCAAAAACGTCAAATCCGCACTTGGAGGCGACTGCAGATGGTATGTTTTAGCGAGATTATTTATGATAGTGGTGAACTAATCATTGACGTACGGAAGACCTTGTCCCTCACATTGTGCTTCCTAATAAAGTCACCCAATAGCTTTTCGTTGACCCCGTGTTGATACACGACCTAGGTACAGTGACTTTAGCTACAACCACGAGCTGATCATTATGAGGGTCAACTTACGGCAGTATCCCAAAACGTGCATCCCAGCTCTATTGCTTTGAGCAGTACAGGCTCAGCTTGCTCGAGAGTTAGGTTACTGCCCAAGCCAAAGCTGATGCCCATGGCACCGAACCCAGGAGTTGGGACCTCAATGTCCGCAAATTGCAGCGTCTTGACCATGGTAGCTTGAATTCCGATGAGCTCAAGCAGGAGAGGAATAAGGAAGGAGCTGTTGGGTGAGATTGTAGAAATCCTCAGACTCTGGCATGATGGCCCCTTTAAATATGTCTGGAGCTATTTAATTCTTGTCGATGAGGTGGACTCATCTATCACGAAGCCAGGCGTCTTTCTTCAATCGCATGAATTTTCCGAGGCAGTCCCGATGCAATGAAGTCACCAAGTGGAGTCCTGATAGTGCAATCGAGTTTTGGTGAACCCGTATGATTTCTTAATTCCGCGTCGGTGGACCGTTCGTAGACGGACATAGAGCGCTAACACCGAGGAATTATATTCACCCGGAAAAGACACTCTCTGCCTCCGCAAAAATCATCAGCGATAGCCATGAAATATTTCCAGTCTTCGTATTCCAGTCTCAACATTGTCGTACCGTGAATCTGCCGAATTCTGTGCACATGAGCAGGCTGTCTAGACACTTTGCAGCAGGGATCCTATTTCTAGAGATTCTGCTATTGCGTGGCGAAGAGGACTAGGTCTAGATTTTTGAGATTATAAGCATATAATATCAATTTTGCTACTTGAACTATCCCCTGAAAGCTGCTATTGAATCTCTTATTAAATCTACTGGAAGTGTATATCATTTCAACCAAGTGTGCACCAGTCGAGATCCAACAAATGCACCCCACTGATACCTGCCTCCATCAATACACTCGGTACACATATTATCAGATCCAGGCTTTATCTTGACAGCTGTCAAGGACGTAAATAAAATTTTGCAATCAGAAATTGGCATTTCGGAATCCTCATTCGACTGACCACCTAACGTCCCCGGCCCAGATTCCGACACCCCCCTGATTCCGGCCGCCTTTTCCAGACAATCACCCACCTTTCAAACCCCCATTATTAAATCTACACAAAATCTTGAAAAGAAAACCCAACCCTAACCCTAATTCATTATATATTTTTTAATTATATAATTTAGTAATAATATTAAAAAGTTTATTATAAATATAATATTTTTTAAAAGATTTTTAATAAATATTATAAATTATAAAACAATATTAACATTTTAAATAATAATATTAATAATGCTTTCTTTTTATACTTTATAATATATTTTATTAAGTAAATTAAATGAAACTTTTCGTTTTTTTAAAAAGTATTAATTATATTTATTATAAATTATTTTAACTTATATTTATTAAATATATCTTTTTTTATTAATAAATTTAAACTTATAAGATTTCTTTATATAAGTTTTATATAATAAAACTATAAATTTATTATTCTTTATTTAAAAAAAATAATATTAATAAATATAAAACTTAAATTTAATTATTTTATATTTATTATATATAAAAATATTTTATTTAAGATTTTACTTATTTTAATTAATTAATAAAAAGTAATATAAATATTATTATTAAATCTTAATAATTTTATACTTTTAACTTTTAAAATATATTTAAAATATTATATATAAAATAAGATTTTAAAAGTGTTTTTATTATATAATATATATAAATCTATATATAACTTATTAAGGTTAGGGGTTATAAATCTTATTTAGATTTGATAATATGGGGTTTAAAAGTAGGTGTCTTGTAATGCAACTGCACCAGAAACGGCTGGCCGGAACCAGGGGGGTGTCGGAATCTGGGCTGGGAACGTTACGTGCAATTTTGACAGCGTCTTGAGTAATTGCCTTTATGTGGGAAGCGCTGATGCCATCAGAGGGGCCGTCATTCCTATTCACAATCAAATACAGCTTACAGGAGATTTCGTATTTGTGTATGGATTGACAAGAATAGGCTATATCTTGCGGGGTTAAGCCTGTACATCACATTTGGGGGAATAAGTCAAATGGCCCACATTCAGCCCAGCCGGGGATTCGGTCCACTTCACACCCGCGTACGCATTAGGTCCACCCCACTATATATCTTGCGTTTTCTTTATAATGGATTTTTTTTCTTCTTTTAAACTTATAATATATTATTATTTATTTATTATAAAGTTATAAATAAAGAAGATATAAGTTTAAGATTTAAAATAATTTAAGTTAATATTAATATTAAAAAAGCTATATTATTTTAAAATATTTTAAAAATTATATTTTATAATTATTATTAAGGCGCTTAAAGTTATTTAAATGCCTTAAAATTATAAATAAAGTTATTTAAAACTTAAAAATTATATTTATTTAAATAAATAATTAATTAAATAATATTAAGGTTATTAATAATTTATTTTAAAATAAGGTTTTTATAACTTAAATAATTACTTTTTAATAATATTAACTTTTTTTTAATTATTATTAATTAAGATAATTTCTTAAGAAAAATTTAAAAATTTAAAATATATAAAGTAATTAAATAACTTTAAATTAAATATATAAAGTAATTAAATAACTTTAAATTAAATAAATAAAGTAAAAATAAATATAATTAAAAATAATTTAATTTCTTTTAATTATTAATAATTATAAATTTAAAATTAAATAATTATTATAATATTAATAAAAAGGATATAATTATAAAAAAGAAAAAATATTATTATTTTAAAATTTAAAGAAAAGAAAGTTATTACTTAAAAAAGTTATAAATTATATATATAAACTTTTTTTAAATATATATTTATTATAAATAAATTATACTTTTTAATTATCTTAAAAAGAAAATTAATTTAATAATAATAATTTAAAATTTTTAAAGATTATAAAAATTAAAACTTTATAATAATATTAAATAATTAAATAAATAATAATTAAATATTTAAGTAATTATAAAATATAATATTTATTAATAAAAAATAAATATAAAAGTTAATATTTATTTAATTTTATATAAAAATACTTTTTATATAAAATATATTAGTTTTATTTATTATTATATAATTTATAAATATTATAATTTTTTAATTTAAAAATATATTTTAAACTTAAAGTAATATATAAAAAAAAATTTTTAAACTTTTATATTAAAAAGTAATTTTTTTTTATTATTATTAAAAGATTAAAATTTATAATATTTAAGAAAAAATATATAAAATTTAAATTATAAGAAATTAATTTATAATTAATTAATAAATATAATTATATTTAAAAACTTTAATAAGGTAATATTTATACTTATTTTAAATAATTTTATAAATATTAAAAGATTTAAATTAATATTTTTAATATTTTTAAGTTATAAAAAAGAAGTTTTTAACTTTTAAAGTATTTTAAGAAATATAAGTTGCTTTTATTAATTATAATTTATAAAAAAAATTAATTATAACTTAATAATTATTTTTTTAAAAAATATAAAAAATATATAATAAAAAGGATTAATAATTAATAATGCTTTTTTAAAAGAATTAAGTTTTTAAAAATAAATTAATAATTATAATATTTTAAAAAGATTAAAATAAACTTAAACTTTATATTTATTAAAATAATATATATATAATATGGTTTATTAGTAAGTAGCGCATATTAGTAAGTAGCGCACTTTTGCAACTTTTGCTAACTTTAATTAACCTTAGCACTTACTTAATGTAAATAATTTAATTAAATTTAGCATTAATTAATATTAATTATAATTAAATCTTTATTTTTAATTACTTTTATTAATTTAAAAGCATTAATATAATTATAATATTAATTTAAATTAATTAACTTTTAATATAAAAACTATATTTAGCATTAATTAAGCTAGATTTATTATAATATAATTAAAATTTAATTAATTAAACCCTTTTTTATCTTTTTTATAAGTTTTTACATTATGCTTAATTTTATTATAATTATTATAATATCTTTTAATTACTTTATTATTAATTAACTTTTTTATCTTATTATTTATTTCATTAGCTAGCTGCTTTACCTTTTATTTCTTTTAAATAAAAGCTTAAGATTCCTTAATTATAAGTGCTCTTTTAAGCTATATTTAAGTTTTTTTAGCCCTTTAATATTTAATAAATATTATATTAATATTTTAAAGTATATAAATTTACTTATTTATTATAATAAGTAAATATATTATTATTTATATATTCTTTATTAATTAATTAATAGCCTTTATAATTAATATAAGAAAGCTTTCTTAATAAATAAAAATCTTACTTTTAATAAAATTTAATTATTAAATAATTTATTAAGTATTTAATAATATTTAAAACTTTTATTTTTAAAGAAAAATAAAAAGGGATTATATTAAAGTTTATAAATAAATATTAAGCTTAAAAATTATAAAATTAAGGTTTTAAGAAAAATTTTTAACTTTTTTAAATATAAATTTAATATTTTTTATTATAAAAGTTTTATTATAAGCTGCCTTAAATATAAAAAAAAACTTAAATTTAATAATATAATTAATTAAAGCTTAAATAAAAAGGTTAATTTTATTACTATATATATGCTTTAAAGATAAATATAATATAATATTTAATAATTAAAGTAAATAAAATAAATATAGTAATATATTAATAATAATAATTTTATTATTTTTATAATATTAATTAAACTTAATTAATATATAGCTTTTATAATTATTTATAATTAATATTTAATAATTAACATTTTTTTTAGCTTAATATATTTATTAAAATATTAAATTTATTTTAAATTAATTTTATTATTTATTTATTTATTAAAAATAATTTTAATAATTTAATTATTTAAAAAATTTAACTTTATTACTTAATTAATAAGGTAATAAGTACTTTAAATAATTATAAATAATAAAATTTATAACTTATTTATATTAATATATTTAATAATAATTATTAATTTTTAATTATTAAATTAAATTAATTTAATTTCTTTATGCTTATTAATATATATAATAATTATTAATAAGGTAATTATATTTATTATAAAGTTAATTTTATTAAAGTTATAAAAAGTATTATTAATAATTTAATACTTAATTATTATATTATAAAGTAATTTAAATTAATTTTTAATAATCTTTAAATCTTTATAAAGGGCCCTTTAATAATAATAAGGATAATTAAACTTAATTTTAAGGCTAAGTTATTAATTTATAAAGCATTAAGCTTAATACTTATTAATAAGTTTAGTATTTTATAATATTAATAAAAAGTTAACTATATTTTTTATATTAAAAAGTTATAAAAGAAATTCTTAAATATCTTAATTAATAATATATTAAATAAGCATTTACTTTTTAATTTAATTAAGTTTATATATATTAATGCATAATTCTTTATAAAAGTATTATTAATTTATTTTATAATAAAATATAGTTTTAAGGATATTAAAGATTTATATAGCTTTATATAACTTAAAAGGTTTAATGCATTTTTTTTTAAAAGTTTTTAATTGCTTAAATAGCTAAAAGTATTTTATTTTTTTTAAAAGGTTTTGGCATTATACTTATTAATTTTTAATATATTAAATATTTAAATAAATAAATAAATAGGAAATTAATGCAAAAAGTATTAACGCAATTCTTATTAAAAAATAATCCCCTTATTAAAACTTAATTACTTTTATTTAAGTTATAATTACTTATATTACTTTAAATTAAGCAAATTAATTAAAAATAAGGATTTAATTATAGTTAATATTAATTAATGCTAAATTTAATTAAATTGTTTATATTAGGTAGGTGCTGAAGTTAATTAAAGTTGGCGAAAGTTGCAAAAGTACGCTACTTATTAATATGCGCTACTTACTAGTAAACCACGTTATATATAAGGTGTAAATTAATGCTAGCGTAATTAAGGATAACTTAATAAAAATAAATGCTTTTAAAGATATTATAAATATAAAGCAATGCATTATTATGGGTGGCAATAAGGATTTAAAGTAACTTTAATTAAAGGGGTGGTATGGTAAGGAGGACTGTTTAAGTGGGCTGAATTAGGGGGTGGGCTAAATGTGGGCCACTTGACTTATGTCCTGTGTCTGTAATATTCTTTGGGTACCATGTTACTATGGCCGTGCTGATGATTCACCTTCCACACACTTTCCGGTAATCAGCATACTTTTGAGGTCCTTGCAAGCTGTAGAAGGATTGGTATGGCGATAGCAACCAGTATAGGCTGGGCATCTAAGACAGCCTTGAAGACCATAGCAAGTATGTGCCTGGGCCTATGAGGATGGTCTATTAACACAATGACTGCTACTAGTTTCGCTCTGAGCCCACGGCTGATCACAAAAATAACGATGTCCATCCTACAGACATTTATTTATGGATCCTTCTATCTTCATCCATAGTTAGGATGAAAAGGCAGTTTACCGGCCTCTTATCCAGGTTGCAAGAGAACAATGTGTGTTTTGAGCGAAGCGCAGCGAGTGATTGCTCACTCCACGTGGTTTAAGATGGCCAGCAGCTCTCAGTCACCATCCTCCTGTGATCACTCGCTCAGAGCATGGTAGGTGTAGGCAGGTGCAACTATGACCATGTGCTTGACGCAATGGTAGGTGTAGCTACAGTAGGCAGGTGCAACTATGATCATGTGCTTGACGCTAAGATACTATCTGTTCCTAGTTGACGTGGTATATCCTTTCTGTCTATGCACGGACGACATACTTCGCAGCACCTTCAACGCCGACCTCAACTGCCGCCTCAACTGCCGTCAAGAGCTCATCTTGGTGGCTAATGAATGGGACATGACTGGAATTGATAGAATATACGGCAGAACCCTCGGGTAGAAGTGCCTCCATGCCCAATTGGATAGGATACGGAAGCGCATTGTCGAGGAGTGTGTGGATGTACGCCTCGGTAACGTTGCCGCTGGTCCAAGGCGAGTATTTTGCGGAATCAGTGAAGGCTTTCTCCGATGTCCAGGTCATGTATGAGGCGTATTCGCTTGCCGTGGCCTCGTCCAGGTTGTTAAAACCGACCTCGATAATCTCAGAGGCGATCCCGCTCACCTTACCATCCTTTCGTACCAGGAGTCGGCTTCGATCGAATTATCGCGTGACGCATGCGATTGAATGGTTCATACCTCAAAAAGCATCCAGTCGAAGTATCCGTTGCCCATCAGGTTATATAGCGAACATCCCGCGGGCGTTATGAATGCGGCAAGATGAATGAGCTGAACAATCGGACACTACAGAGCAGTGTGGCTGCTACCGAGCAGTTTGGTAAAGGTAATTGACTTGGATGAGGGATACACAGGTGGCCGGATCTGTAAACCCATTGGTAGAAGCCCACGGGTTCGTGTCTTTATAACCTGCAATAAGACCCCATCGTGAGCGGTCGTATCGTGAGCCGCATCGCGAAGACCCATTCCACCATATACGTTCATGCGTCCGTAGACTAGAGACTTGACTATCGATTCCACGCCATGATGCTTAGTTACCGAGATGAGAGGACCCGCAGCACATGCGCACGGCTTGAGCCACCTGCGGGCTGATTGACGGGCCAGTGGCCCCGTTCATTCACACTCACTTCAACTTGGTCCAAAATACTCTTCATTGGGGTGTAATGTCTGACTACAAGTATCATGTGACGCAGACATCCCGTTGGCCGCAAACCTTACGATGCCGATTTGGCAGGCTTACCTGGCGGAATATCTTGACTGAAATGCCCCTTTCTTGAAAGAATATTCGGCAACCGGCGATATCCCCACCCGTTTACACTCGCTTCCACAGTTCGTCCGAAAACATTCTCCCGTCCCTGTCGTGATTGAGTCAAGACCCCTGAAGAAGCTTTTGATACCTCTGCTGGTGCATACATCACGACCATGCCACTTCTTTTTCAAGACTTGTTCTTGCCCACACTCTAATAAGATACATATTCACGGGCTCATGTATTCTTATGGAAGGCACTACTTCAGCTTAAACCTCAAGAAAAGTGACCGGAAGTCGATCTTGGATAATACTCGAGTTCTTGGTCACTTCCACCTTCCGTATCAGATCACTATGATACAGAAGCTGTGAGGTCGACTCTTCTCCCAACCAGAAGCCAAAATGAATACAATCGCCACTAAGAGCGAATATAGAGACAAAAGGCTTCCAAATCAACGTCAAGACTTAGCTCTGGTTGTAGCATTAATAAGTTGCGGTCTTCGGGGCAGCACTCTACATGCCTTGATCCAGACGTTGCTAATTCAAAAGACATCAAACCTTCTTATTCATACGAGAAAACCAGGCCTGAAGCCTGAGGGTTTGCATGGCGTTGAAGTTGTTACGAATGCTCATCTAGCAAGCCATGTCTGTTATTTAGTATCTACGAAGGAACTCGGACTTTTTCTCCACCTTAAGTGCTAATCGGTTGCCTGCATGTGCAAGTCCCCTATGCTTGTTCAAAACTTGCACACCGGGGTAATTATCGTTCTCTTAACGGCTACAAAGACGTGACTTTCTTAATAATGCAACCTCTATATCTTGTGGGGGCTTTTGCGGTTGTACTAATGCTCTTCTTATTTGCCGAATGCTACGGTATCGCTGCCCTATCTCAATCTTTCTTATCGGTGGGGGAGTAATTTCGCGAGATGTAAAAATCGCAAACGTGGAAAGCAAGCCTTGCGCTGTTTGATACTGGTCTTCCTTGGGCCAGTTCGCCATGCATTTCTCAATTGTTGTCTTGGAGGTTTTGGTATGGGCGGCATTGTCCGGCCCTGCAAGTGCTGCGCCGTCTAACTCGCGACGCAACGACAACCAGACAACACCCACTTGTCAAAAGACAAAGGTAGCCATCCTAGGCGCCGGTGTCGCCGGCATAAGTGCAGCTCAAGCCCTTTCCAATGCCTCCATCACAGACTTCCTTATGATTGACCGCAATGACTACATTGGCGGGAGGCTAGCCCACACGACCTTTGGCTCTAAGCCGGACGGAACGCCATATACAGTCGAGCTTGGAGCGAATTGGGTCCAAGGACTAGGAGCAGCGGATGCCGCCGCACCAGAGAACCCAATCTGGACATTCTCAAAGAAGTGGAACATCTCGAACACTTACTCGAATTATGATTCCATCATAACATGTGACGAAACGGGGGCAAGCGACTTTTCAAATCTCCTGGCAGAATTTGACAACGCCTGGGACGTCGCTGCAGTAGATGCGGGATCAATTCTCACGGAGAACCTACAAGATACCTCGGCACGTGCTGGGCTCAGCCTCGCAGGGTGGAAGCCTAAGCAGGACATGAAGAAGGCGGCAGCAGAGTGGTGGCAATGGGACTGGGATGCTTCGTACTCTCCGGAGCAGAGCAGTCTCGTGTTTGGCATCACGGGGGACAACCTTACCTTCAACCAGTTTGGCGAAGACAACAACTTCGTGGTGGAGCCTCGGGGCTTCAACGCGTGGCTCGTTGGAGAAGCATCAACATTCCTGGACCCGTCAGGCAACGACCCGCGCTTGCTCCTGAACACGACCGTCTCTGCCATCGAGTACTCGGATTCGGAGGTTACGGTCCAGCTCTCCGACAGTGAGTGCATCTCGGCCGAGCACGCGGTCTGCACCTTCTCCCTTGGCGTCTTGCAGAACGATGTCGTCGACTTTAAGCCCCAGCTACCGCGGTGGAAGCGCGAGTCGATCGAGCAATTCCAGATGGGCACGTACACCAAGATCTTCTACCAGTTCAACACGACCTTCTGGCCCGAGGACGTGCAGTTCTTCTTGTACGCAGATCCGGACAAGAGGGGCTATTACCCGGTGTGGCAGTCCCTGTCGACGGAAGGCTTCTTGCCCGGAAGCAACATCATCTTTGCGACGGTGGTAGAGGACGAGTCCTATCGGATCGAGAAGCAGAGCGATGAACAGACCAAGGCGGAAGGCCTCGAGGTCCTGCGAAGGATGTTTCCGGATGCACGAGTTCCTGAGCCCACCGACTTCATGTACCCGCGGTGGACGACGGAGCCATGGACGCATGGGAGTTACAGCAACTGGCCAGTGGGCTTGACACTGGAGAAGCATCAGAACCTGCGGGCCAATGTCGGAGCTCTCTGGTTTGCTGGCGAGCACACCTCGGCACAATATTATGGGTTCCTGCAGGGGTCATGGTTCGAGGGACAGGAGCGTGGCGTGCGTATTGCTGCGTTATTGAAAGGCAATGGCACCGCCATGGAAGCTTACGGGGAGCTGCAGGGCACGACTGAGCTTTCTGAGTATGATGCTACAAACGGGTGGCCGGTGAGCAGCTTTCTGAACTATAATTGACAAATGGGAGTCGCACAGGAAGTCGGGGAGAAGATCTAGCCGGATTTCAAGTGAACAATCCGCTTGCAGCGACACTGTTGCACCTGCCTTCCCTCAATTATTGTTTAAGTCACCTCCTCCTTGCTCCAACTCTGCTCCTTTCTTTGATGCCGAAGATGCCCGAGATCCTTGATGCATCCTCAAATACGTACTTGCAATAGCTAGCCCGACCAAATCGAGCAGATTAGGAGCCCACGATCCCGGTTCCGGTTGTGTTGGAGGTGCCTTTGCTTCTGATAAATACCTAGGTAGCTTGCACGGGATCCAGAAAGGTTGGCAGGTACTTGAGTATTTTGCAAAAAGAGGCAATCAAAACCTGACTGAATACGGCTGGTATCAAGCGTCATCCTACGGAACAGTGTCCCCGGGGTAGGCAAACCCATTAAGGGTTGTCTGTCCAGTAGACTAAGTTGTCCAGAGATGATGAGCGGCCACTGACTAGCCACGTAATCTTTAGCCGTTCTACGCGATACTTGTGCCCACAGTCGACTTGCATTCAGGGTACTAGCGAGAACTTGCTCCAGGGTTAGGGGTGAGGTCGGAGGCGACTGCCCAAGACCTCGGGAAGTGGGAGCGACCATCTACGCAGGCGCGTCTCCCAAGTCGCGTCAAATCGAAGCCATCAATCCGCCCAGCCAAAGAGCGAGCCCGCTTCGAACAATCCGCCGAACACGACCTAGTCTCCCTCCCGCCGCTGCATCCTCGAAGCCCTTCGCGCAGAATGCCGCCGAAGCAGTCAACAGCAGGAGCCTCACGTGGCCGGCCTCCTGGCTCCAAGAACAAGGCAGCGGCGCCCGCTGGCAGCAAGAAGCCCAGCGCGGCTGCCAGAGGAAAGCAGCGAGCCCAGCCCAACGAGTCTCCTGAGCCTCGGCGTCGCGAGGACTCCGAAGAGGTCATGGAGGTCGATGGAGATCTGGAGGATGACGAGGATGATGAGGAGCCGGAGAAGACCATCCCGCCCGAGCTACTGACGCGCATCCTGCACGAGTTCTTTGAGAAGGACGGCACACGCATCACCAAAGATGCAAACAACGCCGTCGCCAAGTACATGGATATCTTTGTCAAGGAAGCTATTGCTCGAGCCGCGGCTGAGAGGGACGGGGGGTTCTTGGAGGTGGGTTTGGGGATCGACCGAGGCAAGGTGTGAGCAAGGCTCGAGAGCTAACTTGGGTGCGCTACCTGCAGGTCGAGGATCTCGAGAAGATTGCGCCGCAGCTGTTATTCGATCTGTGACCGATTCACCACGATAGGCGCATGCATACTCCGGCTCCTCAGCTGAGTCTCACTGGCAATTCGGCCATTCAGGCAAAGCAGCGATCACGCAGTCCCTGCCTATGTGGTCTGTCCCAGGGCGGAGCGAAGTCATCATAACTGCCGGTCTTGAGGGAGATGGAGCGCTCAAAAGAAACTTACTGGAGCCTGTAACCGAAGTCTCGGACCGCGTCAGCGACTTGATACGCCAGGATGGCTCTCATTGGGCCACGATTGTCGAAGAGCTTTCGCCCCAGCAAAGTGCACAACGTTGGCGGCAGAAGACGTCTACGTCAAAAACAGAGATGCAATCCTGGCTGCTCAGTGGTAAGCCATGTCCGTCCGAAGCAACGACAGGATGCTCAGTACGATCGAGTTCAAGCGAAGGCTCACGCCCGTGCTCATCTTACAGATGTGTTGCCATAACGGCGCACAGGTGCGACTTGAGACTGATGTCGGGGTCACTGGCAAAAGAGTGTCCCATCATCTGCAAGCCCTACCGCTGTTGGCCGAGGTGACTGGCTGGCCTCAACCCATGTTGCCACCCGGTTCCTCTCATGGTGCAGCAACGCCGAACCTTCGGGCCAAGTTCGGTTGCCAAGCCTCAAACATCGGCTTAGGTCCGGCTGGATTGGGGTGACGAGACCGAGCTCGGTTGCTTGGGCATCGTTAGAAAGTCATCCAATGAGTGATCATGCCACCTTGCCGACCGAGAGTGGCTCCAATCAGCTGCTCTGACGCCCAAGACGCATCGTGCGGCCGTCTCTGCCCCATTACGCAGTCCGCGTTTGGCCTCATGTTGTCGGACGAATGTGTCTAGATGAGATTCCGTGAACGGCACTCTACCGAAAACATCTCGTGTAGGCGGAGGGACATCAATTTACGGTGTTTGCTCCGTAGTATGCCAACACAATTCAATTACGTTATGCGCGGATATGGCAATGGTCTGCCGGCCTCTCATGGCCAATAATGGTGACGATGCCGCGGTGAGGCCGTGGTGAAACAAAACACGGAGTTTTGTCGTGCTTCTTGACACTCTCGTGAAAATGGATCACAACTTGTTTGCAGATCTGCGTACCGTTGAGTCTCATCTGGGTGACAAGCCTTCCCCGAGCCTCTTGGGACTTTCATCTCAACTTTAGGAAAAGTGTCATGTCGGAAACATCACTCCAGCCAAACTCAAGAGAGCCTGACAGGGTAGAATGGATGGGACGCATCATGCAAGAGACAGCATCCCGATTACACTACGATGTTGGGACAGTCTTGCCGCCGCGAAGGTAGAAATCCCCGACCTCGAGAGGTTGTTTCAAAACACGAGGGCGTGGGGAGTAGTGCTGGCGGTGATCTTTGATCATCGGCAAGAGGTAATCTGCACATCAAGTCTTGGCTGTTGGCAGGACCATTGGCGATGCTGCAGGAGGCTGTGGTTCCGGGGCGGCAAGCCTGCATTGGCACGTATCACAAACCATACCGAGAGGTATGTCAGGGGTCGGCTCGAAGGGCTTCAGGAGAGCCTCATTGCTGGGCAGCACCAGCTTGCAAGGCCGGCCAAGGTGTTGGCGCTTGCGGCTCAAAGATCAGAGAAGACCAATTCAGCAGCGAGTAAAGCCCAAGCCTCACTGCCACTCGGTGCCACCCCCGGGACGTCGTCGCTTATGTCGGCCCTTGACGTGCTTGAAACCGCCTGCAGTCTCGGAGTTGTCGCAGGCTGCCACATCCGTGCGGCTCCTGGCGGCTCGACAGGGGCAGCCCCTGCTGCAACCTTAAATCCAGGTCGCGGCTCCAACGTCGTCCGGTCGCTGGTTCAGCTCATCACATCAACCTCATTGCGCCGAACCTGATGACGGCGCCTTCCAAGATTGGACCACCGCCACAAATGATGCTATGCGACGAAGAGTGATCAGTCTGCACAGGACCAGCCACGGCGAGATCGTTTTCAGCAAGGCCACCCGCTCGCGGTTGCATCTTCGGTCCCAAGATGAGACCAACGGCCTTGCCGCATTGCCGATATGGCCTACTATTGACAATTAATTGTATGAGCGCTCTTGGATTCAGTGACTCCAGCATTACGTTACCATCTAGTTTTGCTGTCGCATACGTCACTCGAGCCCTGCGGTCACCCTCAGGCAGCTCATTCCAATGGCGGCTGCTGACGGGTAAGACGGGCCCGCGATGGGCCACAAGCCACCCGGAAGACATGCAATTCCGGTGACAGGAGCCCACCCAGATTGCCACGATATGTGGCAGCATTAAAGATAACCTTGTTGCCATTAAGGCCCAAGCTGCCGGGATGATGAATTCCGCCCCCCCTGGTAAAGACGATGTGATGATTTTTCTAGAGACGGTTAGAGGTCCCACTCTTTAATCTCGGCATTTCAGAGCCCCAGAGCCACTTCAAAAAAACACATCTCGCTCATTTTAAGGAACATAAAGAGTACCGGGTTGGGCCTCAAGTGGTGCTCGGCGGTGCCTACCGGCACCGTCCGTCCTCGCCCCAGCCGGCCCTTTCTTAATTTATAATTATAAGCCATGGGAGAGTAAATTAAATTGGGAGTCTTTGAGGGGTTTTTGAGATGTTATTCAGAGGCGGGGGGACTAGTGGAGGCGCTAACCAACTCTAGAAAAATCATCACATCGTCTTTACCAGGGGGGGCGGAATTCATCATTCCGCCAAGCTGCCGCCGAACGAAAGCGGGTCCTGCAGTTCGCCGTAGGTCAAGTCGGGGCAATGTGAGACGGCTAGGGTGTCCCCCGCGCCCCCTCAGGGGAGCGAGGTGCAACTGTGAACACCCACGCCTCACGGGTACGCTCTTGAGAGCCCCACGGCTTCAGCACAGCTCGCCATCAGTCAAGCGACAAGACAGGGGAGCAGAGGTGAGTTCATCCATGCCGGCTGCCTCTGCGCGCCTGATGTCCTGCTGGACCGACACCCGTCACTTTCGGGGCAGCGCACAAGCCCAGGCCTCGACACTAGGTGTAACCGCCAGGGTCTAATAGCTGGTCTCGGTGGGTGGGCAGGGCTCACCAAAACAACGACTCCAGTTTCAAGATTCCCCTTCTCTCACGCCTCCCCTTCGAGCCTTGCCCTTGTCTCATCTCATGTTGTCTTCACACTTGGCTTTGCCCGTCTCTCCGCCAGTAGCGGTACCGCACAGGCTGGCAAGGGTACGGCTGCGTCGATCAAGCACCAGGGGATCGTCGTGCATCCGAGAGAGGATTCGCTTCTCGAGACTTGTGTGTGTGTTGCATCTTTCTTATATTCATGCGCCCCATCTTCCTGTTCTCCTCCTGTCGTGTTCCTCTTCTCCATCCACATCAACGGCGAGAAGTTTGACCGACTGTTTCCTTTCTTTTACCACGACATAATTCGATTCTTCACGACGCCTAGGCCAGTCCTATCGTCGATACCAGCGCGAGCCGCTCAGTAATACACCTGATAATACCAAGCTTCGGACGAAGTTGACTTCGCCAATCCTCTCTTTACACCAAACTACAAAAGAATCAAGCAAAAAAGTCCAAAATGCAGTTCACAGCAGCAGCTCTTGCCGTGATGGCCGGCGTCGCTTCGGGTATGTCGATCTACTCGAGCAGTCTTTCCTCTACTACCAGCGGAGTATCTAACACTTCGATCACAGCGCAGAAAGTCCAGGTCGTCACCGTCTCCACCGCCAACAACTCCCTCGTGTACACACCAGACAACATCAAGGCCAACCCGGGCGAGATGGTGCAGTTCCAGTTCGTGGCAGGCAACCACACCGTGACGCAATCGACGTTCGACCAGCCCTGCGCTCCCATCAGCACCATCCAGACAAACGTCACCGGCTTCCACTCCGGCTACCAGCCCGCCGCCGCGTCCAAGGAGACGGGCATGATCCCCACGTACACCGTCATGATCAACGACTCCAAGCCCATTTGGCTGTACTGCGCCCAGGGCAAGCACTGCCAGAGCGGCATGGTCATGGTCATCAACGAGAAGTGAGTCGTTACCATGCACAGCCTGTGTCGCACGATGGGGGCAACGAGACGCTAACAGAGATCTTTACAGCACTTCTGCCAACGCTACTCGGTCTTTGACGGAGTTCAAGTCCCTGGCCGCGAAGGCGCAGTCCAACACTGCTCCCTCCGGAGGCTCCACCACTGGCGGTACAACCGGCACTGGCACCGGCACTGGCACCGAGTCCGGCTCCTCTGCCTCACCCTCGAGCCCCGGCCAGACGACTGCCGCAGGCTCCATGGTCAAGGTCGGCGGCAGCCTCGGTCTTGCTGCTGTCGCTGCAGCAGTCCTGCTGCTGTAAGCAGGTGGCGATGCACTACTGCTCGGGGAGCAGCCTGTTCTCTGAGAGACTCGGGGATCTATTTCTTTTCTCACACACATAAGAACGGTAATCAAAGAAGGCGGGCCGACATAAAGCTTCGGTGGCTGGTGGGCGTCACGGATACCTAAGGTACTATTATCACACAAAGATCTTGATGATTCGCATTATCTCTTTTATCTCTCTTCATATAAGCTATATCACGAATGAAATGTAAGATGATACCACGCCCAGAGCGGGTTCCACAAAATACGCTTGGCGGATGTCTGTATCCTATGCTGCCTTAAACACCTGTGACATTAGTCTCGCCCGAGTTTGTCTGTTCCCTGCATGTTGTTCCCGCGACGAAGCTTTTGTGAATGTTGTCCGGTGTCAACGTGGGGACTCCCGTCGCACAAGTAATGCTGACATCGCATTCTCCAACGTCACATTACGCCCAGGAAGAATGTAAATAATTGCCAGGTAATTACGTTTTTGGTAAGACCATCCATCCGAGTCTCAACTGTCAAGTCATGTCTCAATCGGGACTATTTCGGTGTTGCCAAGCGAGAGAAGGGAGCCTTCTCGGGTTGCCGACGATGGACCTGCTCGTGTGGGAATGAAAGGTACATGTGCGAGACGGAGTGACGTCTGGGCCATATTTATACTCCGACCTGTTTACTCTGGCTTACCTGTTCCTGTTGAGCGCTGGGTCAAATAGCCCTGGAGCAAGTTCCTTGGAGCAAGTTTCTGCAGCAAACTCGCTCAACCCCCTTTCTTGGCGCACCACTCTGCTGAGGCAGCAGTACTGCCAATGAGAGCAAGACGGACGTGTCATGACCGTCTGGATCGTGCTCGTGGTGCATCTCGATCGCGCCAGAACGCCCGTGGGTGGTGAGCGCAGTGTAGCGCCGGGCGTAAATGAGGTGATGTGTCGATTACCCGTCCTGTACATATACATTGCCCCAAGGAGGGCCCACAGGTGTCTGCTCCTGAGCCCTCCAGAGCTTACTTCCTGTCCTCGGGGATCTTCCTGGGCTTCCTGCCTTTTTTCGCCTGCTCACACAGCTCCTTCTTGGGCTCCTTCTCGAGCCACCCCTCCTCTTTCTTCACATAGCCAACGAACGAGTACTTCTGGCTGTTTCCAAAGAAATCCACCCAGTGCTTCAGCGCATCATAAGTCTTCTTCTTGGCCTCGCGCCGCTCCTGCTCCTTCAATTTCTTGAGCTCGGATTTGCTCCAGTGACTGTCCACCTCCGGGTCGTCGAGTGGCAGGTGCATGTCCTCGACCCCGCGCATGTCGGGTGTGCGATCCTCGGCGAAACAGCCCGTGACGAAGCCGCGGGAAGCATCGACGCCGGCAAAGACGTGGTAGGAACCGCCGGGTCCATAGACGCGCGAGCCGGCGGTGACGTCGTATACGGAGCCATTGATGGCAAGGTAGATGGGCTTGGTCGGGTCGGAACCGTCGTGCAGGGTGAGTTCTTCCGGGGTTATGTACCGGGGCCCGTTCTGGAAGCAGGCAGCTGTGGTCAGTTAACGAACCCCAGGGCAGAGAGCAGCGAGGGCGAGACGGGTTGGTATACGCACAAATAGGCCCTTCCATGTCTCCACACGCAGGTACTTTGGCGGCACCTTCATGTTCCAGAAGAAGGACTCTCCGCCCGAGACGAGGTAGCTGGCGCCGCACGAGACGAACAGCAGGAAGGACAGGACTCGCAGGACGTCGACCCACGGGTTCCCATACTCAACCTCATCCGTGTCCACCCTCTTGCCTTTCTTGCTTCTCTTCTTCTTTCCTCCCTCGTCACTTGATGGCTGGGTATCTCGCACCGCTGTGTCGGCTGTCTCGGCACCAGCTTTCCGCTGGCGAACCGCAGAGTCCGGTTCTGCTGCCATGATTGGGAATGCTCGTGAGGGCGACAGGTGGTGTTCGAGGTGGTGGTGACGGAGGTCAGGACGGCGGTAGAGAGGAGGGGATTGGAAGGAGAAGACAGGAGACCAGCTGTCATGTGCTCCGTCGGCCGATCCCAAGGAGCACGTCGTGTTCTCTTTCCGCGAACCCGAGACCGAGTCTAAATTGTCCGGACATCCATGCAGGGTTGAGCTGCCTGAGCGGGATTGGGGGCACCCCACTAGAAATAGACGACAGTTGATTGGTCTTCTAGAAGGTGGTGTCAAAAGGTGGCCCTTGTAGCGCGAGCCCCACCACACCCAGGCATGCTGCCGCCTGAATGGCTGGAGATCCTGGTTGCCGGGACAACAGCGGGCAGGCTGATCAACACTGTGGAATCCGGGCCCCAAATTACAGTGCAGGCTCGGCCAGGACGACTTCAACATCTCGCGCCGTCACCACATCGCATTGCATTGCTGCATAGCAAGCCACCTTCCCCTTGCTACAGAACCAATACACACAACACTTATCGTGTACAACCTAGTCGCAACACCTTGCTCTACTGACCACCGGACCCGTTCGCATGACCACCATCCCTACTGGACCTGGATCTAGCTCAACAGGTTACCCGAGTGGCACCTCGCTGTTGCTTTGTTTACCGCGACAACGAATACCACCACACCCCAAGGCCAGTTGACCACTTCCTCCTTACACCAAGTCTCCTGTAAGAAGACACCATGGAGCGTCCGTCCACCCGCGACGGCTCTTCCACGCCGGCACCAACCACACCCTCCCCGTCCAAACGAGCCTCCACCTTTGCAGCAGACAGCATGGCGCCCTTTGACCCCGTCTCCTCGGACCGCCTCAACATGCAGATGGGCTCAGAACACCGACTTTCAACCAACAGCCTCGGCTCCCCTGGAAAGAAGGGACACTCGCGCGACAGTTCGGTCAGTGATAAGATCAACCAGTTCAACACCCTCGCCTCCCAGAGCAAACACCTCGAGCGCAAGAACGCCGACGCTGCCCTGAAGCGCGCCGTGCTCGGTCGTGAGGAGGCAGAGGCCGAGGTGCGCAAGTACAGGGACGACGTGCACAAGCACAAGGATGAAGTGCGCGCGCTGAAGAAGGAGATAGAGGAGGGGAGGAATAGAGAGAGGAAGGTCGGCGAGAGGCTGGAGACGGTCATGGTACGTGAGAGCATGGTCCTCGCCCACTCGGCGAAAATTCGCGGTCACTGACGAGCGCAACTTTCCACAGGAGAACTATGGTCGCACAAAGGAGACGCACGCCCACACACAAACACTGTGGGAAAAGGAGATACGGCGGATGCGCAAGGAGACATTCAAGAGCCAGTCCGCCATCGTCGACTTACAGGAGCAACTCAATGCCGCCCGCGCTGCCCAGAAATCCGCAGAAGCATCTCTCCAGAGAGAAAAGGAGCGCAGCTCCGCCCGTGAGCAGGAGGCCTTCCAGGCCAGATATAATCAGGTCGGCCTGCAGGAACAGCTCGAAAAGATCCGCTCCGAGCTTGACCAAGCCCTCGAGCGTGTCAAGCTTGTCGAGCAGGAGCGCGATGCTTTCAAGACCCTGGCCAAGACAGAAGAGGACGTGGCGAGGATCGCCTCCGAGGGCAGGCTTCCGCTGCCACCAGCTAGTCAGGAGGACGAGGAGGACGAGTTTGCGAGCCCGAGGAAGTCCTACGACTCCCGTGCTGTGTCGCTTTCCCTGGTCGACGTCAAATCCTCTGCTTCCAGCGAGATGGAGATTGAGGAACTCACACGGCTTTGGCAGTGGGAGAAGCAGCGTGCCGACCGTGCTGCCGACCAAGTCGAGTATCTGGAGGCCGAATGCAGCCTGCGAGCATGCTCTTGCATGAAGAAGCGACCCCGGTCCAGCATGATGGGCTTGCTTTCTCCAAAGCGTCAGAAGCGAGCTGCCGCCGAGCCTCTACCACCCCTGGCCGACCCGTCGGACCGAATGATTCTTAGTGAGAAAGCGACTGCTATCCCTCCGCCAAGTGAGACATCTGCTCATGCCGTGAAGCAGCCAACAAAGAAGAAGAACAGCCAGAGCGGTGATAGCGAGGATAGAAGAGCGACCATCTTCCTGCCTGATTTGGGCACCTTTCGCACAGTGAGCATGGAGGAGGCGGACGCCATGGAGAGGGCTCAGGAGCAGGGGAAGAGAGACGAGCCTGTGCCGGCGGGTGTGGAGGCGGATGACAAGCCCATGGAAAACGCACCCCCCAACGTCGTCGAGCAGGGTACGGTGCCTGAGCGGTACTCGCACGCCTTCTGTCGAGCCTCCTTCCTTCGCGATCGTCGGCCAAGAGCGGGCATCACTTGTGTCTCTCCTGGATGCCCCCCACCACCAGCAACAGCCATCGCAGTTCAAGGTTCCTGCGATACCAACCACGCCAAGCCTCATGTCCGAGCAGGCCAAAGAAACTGCCCCGAGCATCTTCCAACGATTTGGAACCACCGCGCGAGCCGAGACTCGTCAGCCACAACCCCGTCGCTTGCCTCTCGGCTCCCAAGATCCAAACGTCGAGATTTCTACCGCCGCAACCAGCTTCAAGACATCCTACGACTCCCGTCCACTCACCGCACAGTCTTTCTACACATCTACCACGACCACGTCCGTCCCTCTGCGCGAGGAGAACTCGGACCCAAGCATGGCTAAGAAGCTGCTCGCCTTGCAGAGAACCCCTTCGCGTGGCAAAGTTGACAACAACGAGATACCGACCTGGGACGTCAATAATCCTGCCCTGACCCCCACGATGACGAGGGAGCAGGCCCTGGCGAAGATCAGGGAACGCCGGGGCAGAGCTAAGAGCGGTAATGCAGGCACTGCGACGCCGTACAAGGGCATGATCAGGGGCGCGCGGGGCGACAGGAGGGACGTGAGCGCACCTGCGGGCCGGAAGGGGCGGATCGGCTCATGAGGAATGAGCCCAATTGATGCGGTCATTTTGCGGGAGTTTGTTTATTTGTTTTTGCGGCAGCAAGACTGCTAAAACCTTGATTCTTGTGTACATGTTTACGGCAGGTTTCGGGCCTGTCTGTCTTGCGGCATCTTTGTGGCGTTGGAGAGGCTGAACGCGATCATGAGACATGATTTCGGGTTTTGAACGTTGTTACAGCGGGGTTTGTGCGCAGGACGGTTACTTATTCTATGGTCCCCTCTTCTCTCCGAATCGGGGTTTTCGGGGCGAGAAGAAGCATAGTTCAAGGCTGACTGTCGTCTCTTTTACCTGGAAACCCCTCCAATACATAAGTAATAGAACTGGTGACGAACCTTGTTCCTATATGTGGTAAACTCGCTCCGACGATATTGCCATGAGCATATGCTATTATATTCACAGTATTCACCTGATGTTCTCATCGGGTCAGCCGTCGACCTCAAATCCGCCGTCGATCCTGTCCCATAGAACGTTCGCTTCAGCCTCCGATTCGCGTGAAGCCCCTACGGACGCGTAGAGCCCAAAGCCCAGCTTATGCCTTCAAGAACTCCCTCGCCTCATTCCTGGCATGCTCGCCGCTCATAGCATCCAGTTTCACAGCAATAAGCACACACTCCACGGCGCTCCGGCCGTTCTTGGCGGCCTGTATGCGCAGCCTCCACTGGCCGGTGCGCACAACCCAGAAGCCTCTGCTTGGTAAGCCTGCGCCACCGTCGATCCCAACGACGCTTCCATCTGCTGCCCGTCTTCGTTTCCGTGGGGGGTTTAGGGACAGGCCGGCGAAACTGGCCGGTGAGTCCATGTTTGCGGGGCCGGCGCTCGACGGTGCCGACATGTTATTGCCGCCGCCGCCGGCCTCGAAGACCTCGTCCGCGGAGTCGAACATGCTGGGGAAGTGACCCGTGTAGCTCTGCCCATCCAGGGTGATGGCCGTCTCTGTCTCCAACACACACTTGACCAGATCCTCACTGAGTGGGGTGTTTCCCGGCGTGGCAGGCTGGCTCGACGCGCCGCCGCTCGCCATCAGAAGGCCCAGGGGCTGCGTGGTCGGCGGGAGGTTGAGCTTGGAGGCGATCACCTCGAACAGCTTCGTCACCCTGGTGCGCACCTCGCGGAAGAACTCCAGCCGCGTCCCGCCGCCGGCGCCATCCTTGTCGAAGTGCAGGCGCGTGCACTCGCCGCCGATCTCAAGGACCAGCTCCAGGGGCCGCTGGCTGCTGTCGACAAAGGGCCGGGCGTAGTTGACCCAGCCGAGGAAGTTGTCCCTCTCCCTGGCGGCGATATCAACGCGCTCCGGCAGGACGGAGATACCCGACTTCAGAATGTCCTCGAGGCGCAGGGCTATCTCGTCCTTGCCGCGGGACTGGTTGAAGCTGATTGAGTGGGGGATGAGGCGCTGCTCGACGCCCTTGAAGTTGAAGTAGCGGCAATCACGTAACAGGGCGGCACGGTGGGCCTCGGAGCGGATGTCGACGGGGTAGCCCCTCAGCAGGTGCAGCAGCTCGGAGAAGGTGTCGGCGCTGCGGTTGGGCACGCTCGGGGGCAGGATGCTGGGCGGGCGGATCAGGCCCTCCCTGTCCAGGCCGGGGAACAGGTCGGCGGAGGGGTTGCTGAAGAAGATGGCGAAGCCCAGGCTGAAGAAATTGGGCGAGTTGCCGGGCTCGGAAAAGGAGTCGCGCGGGATCTGGAACTCGCGGTGGCCGATGGAGATGAAGATGGACTCCTCGTAGAGCTGGGAGATGAGCTTGGGCAGGGAGTAGAACTGTGCATCGGCAAACAGCCGCACGAAGTGCGTCCCATCGCGGGGCTGGACGTGGTAACCCTGCAGGTGGAGTGAGATATCCTTGAAGGTGACGGGGTCTCTGTCGATGTAAAGGGTGCGGATGGCGCTGCCTATGTCCTGGCCTGCCTCTTCGGCCTGCTTGATCTGGCAGAGGAAGTATTGGGAGAAATAAGAGGGCGCTGTGTATCGTCAGTCTTGATGAGCAGCGACCCAATGTGTGCTGACCATTGCCCTGGGCCAGTCCGGACGTACCGTCTGATGAGAGGGATGCGCCTGAGAGCTTGTACAGCTCGGAGCCGATCTGGATGGGGAAGACGCGCTCATGAGGCAGGATGAAGGGGATTTTGGAGATGAGCTGGATGGGCGAGGCAGATTGTGCTTGTGCTTGTGCTTGTGCTTGTGCTTGTGCTTGTGCTTGTGCTTGTGCTTGTGCTTGGGACGGGTGGCGCTGGGCAGCAGAAGAGGAGTTGTGGTTGTTGGTGTTGCCCAGCGGCGTGTTCGTGTTGGATCGTTCACCCGGCATCTTCGATGTGTATCCGATGGACTGATATCATCACCGGTTGCTGGGCCGTCATCTCCTGCTATCGCATCTTGGGCCTCGGGCAGGGACAGACTGCAGTCGACTTTACGAGAGGGTTGAGGGGGCTCTGTGGGATGCTCGTGAGGGGCTCGTGGGATGGAAGCAGTCCCAATGGGGGCATGAGTGAGCGACCAGAGCGTGTTGGCTATTGAGACAGGCACCCAGGTACAAGACCAAAGCGCCCGCCTGTCAAGCGTTCATTGGTCGCTCAGTACGGCAGGTCACTGCAGCATATGCGCTCCGACAGATCGGAGACGCGGGTGGAGAAAACAAAGCAGGGCAGGGCAACACAAGGCAACGCAAGGCGGAGGGCATGAATTAGCGAGTTGGTGTGGGTGCGCGCGGCGAGTGAGTGAAGTGAGCGGGTGGAGCTCAGACGGGGCGCGCCTCTTTTTCGACCCTGATGCAGCTAGCCGGATGCCGAGATGGAGCCGATAGCTGGGCGCAAGAAGGAAACAGCGGCGCTTGGGCCACATCTTATTTCGGCCTCACTCTTATCACCGGTTCGTCAGTGACCTACGGTCGATAAGCCAGCCCACTGGAACAGGGTCAGCATTAAATCACACACAGTACAACTCACATTCTTCTCTGTTTGAGGAGAATATCCAGCATTCCATCTCTTTTCAATCCTTGGACTCGACTATAGAGCGTTCTCCAGAGCCTTGATTGGGCTCGCTGCAAAGATTCCCGCCCCCTGTCCCACTCGAGTAGCGACTCTTCATCAAGACGCAACCAGTACCATCTCGCGGCGCCTCAGGGTCCCGCCTTGCTGAGACTCTCTCGCGCTGCTCCAACCTGACGAGATGCTCCACTGCCGTTTTTAGCGTCGTCTGCACCGTCATTCTGTCCCCAAGTTGCACAACCGCATCCACTCTGTCCCAGATGCTGTCCCAGATGCTGTCAACCGTGACTGGGCCACTCGGGCCATCGTGCCTGCCGCCAAGTGCCAGGAAGACTGGCATCCTCCTAATGATACGCGAGATCTCTCGTCTGGCCAGTTGTCTACACAGACCACAACGCATATCGCACCAAACCGGGGTTCGACGGGATATTGATGCTTCGAGTCGGCCGCGAACCCCAGGTTCTCCTCCGCCGCGTCTGGGAACGTTGGGAGTGCGTTCGCGAATAAAGCCGCCGTGGGAAGTAGATTGAACTTGGCCCGGGCGGAGGATCATGAGCAGATCCTACTTGTGTGACATTGCCTACTAGTGCGCATATCACCAATAAGTTTTCACGTAATTCTTATGGGGCAATAGCGGTGCATGGCCGGAGTGTAAGTGATTCTCAGATATCTATGGACACATTTGACCAGGAACTCACGTAAGTACTGGTTAGTGTCTGGTGCGCACCTGCGAGCACCTGTGAGTACCTTGAAACCGGAAGAAGCCGTCGTTGTAACCCATTTTCATCGTATAGGGCTGCTATAAGCCAAATTTCTACCACACGCCACCTAGGTAATAGCTCTCTACTCACCACTGCACTTACGTGAGATCCACGTGGTTCCACACGATGCTTCAATACACTCAACAGTGGTTTTCATTTGTAGTCTTTCCCCTCGGACTAACGCCCTAAGCATGGCCTTCACCCTCCGGCTGGCTGGCTTGCCAACGTCAATCATCAAGGATGCACCACCACAAGAGTCACCTTAGTGAATGGGCGATCAGGGTCGTAAGCTGTGTTTAGCAGCAGAGTAAGCAAAACGTGGGCTCCTGGTTCACTGCAAGATTACGCGACAAGCTTACCCGTGGTCCCTTCCGGAGTCCAGCGGAAATCGTACATGAAATTGAATGGCCGCACGCCAACGGTACCCCCTTGGGCCAAATCACCTCGAGAGGCAATGTGCAGCTCGGTCTGCAGGGCGTCTGTGTCCGGGTTGCAGCCGTAGACGACGTTGAAGATGGCGCGGGGGTCAGTGCGGTCAGTCATGAAGATCTTGGTCGTGTTGTCCTTGACCTCGTACTCTCCGTTGATGCACGCACGGCGCGGCGGGCTCCATGGCAGAGTGATGACGCCGTCGACGAGCGTCAGCTCGCTCGTTGAGTTTCCAGCGGGACTAACAAAAAGGTGCTGATCTCCCTGGCCCCAGTCCCATATGTTGAGGAAGTGATCGTGAATATCTGGGAATGATGCATTCTGCAATTGAATTGCAAAGCCTTGGGGGATGTTGTTGGAGAGCGGCTCGTCGGGAATCACACACGCAATGGCGGCCGTGGCCGAGGCGAGTACAAAGCTTAGTGACGGCCACATTTTGTGCTGTGGGTGTTGCTGGGCGTATAGGTGTTGTTCTCGCTGAGTTTGCGGGACACATTGAGACCATTCAAGCTTGCCTGAGTGGCAGACATTTATGGGTGAGCTTCAACTGGAAGGATCGCACACGATGCCACCCGAAGTTATTGCCAAGGCTTGATACGAGTCCACGCATCTAATGGATCTGCAGTCAGATACTAGTCTCAAATCCGGACCTTCTCTTTCGGGCACAAGGGAGGATTCATCGGTAGCGTTACAGTACCATATGTGCAGATCGCCACTTCGGTCAGCGCGACCGGTCCATTGAACTGACTACGTCCTGTGCTGCTTCGGAAATGGCGCGCCGCTGTTCCTTTTGAGTTCACGATAACGTCCATTATCTTGCAGCTCTATCGTCTGCATGCTTCAGCTCTGGGACTGATCTGGACTAGCAGTCCTTCGTGTTACGGTTGTAATGTCGCTTGCATCGATGGCCTTTCCGAGGCGAGGATGATCGAGTGCCACAACTTGTCATTCAATCTTGAAGTTGTATTGATCAGCACTATACGCATGTTGTGTTTAACACACAAATAATGTCTTGACGAACTTTGCAGGGAACCAAAGGGACGGTTTAGAAGACATGCAGGCTTGTATTTCGGGTCACGTTTATACACAGCATACCGAACAGATACATGAGAGTCAGCTTACTGTGGAACGCTCTACTCTCATATGTAATTAAACATATCAAAATGGCGCCAGTGGCCTGTATATAACACCTTACACCAAAACTCGTATATACTTATTATGCCATGCCCTTTTTAACTATTAACCATAATTACTTATCCCACAACCCTTATAACGTTATGCCTTTTACTACGCTATATATTTTAATTATTATAAATTAATTTATAATAATTTTATAACTATATCTTACTACCTAACTCTTTTAAAACTTTATATAATTTAAGAGCTGCTAAATATTAATTAAGTAAATAATATTATTATTATAAGAATTATAAAGTGTTTTACGGTATAAATTTATAAGCTAAGAAATAATAACTAGCATTATTATTAAGCTAAGCAGCTTATATAAAGCCGTTTAATTAATTAATTTTTATTATAATATTTATAATTTAAATTTTAATTATTTATCTTTTTTAATATATATTTTTATTACTTAAGCTGTTTTTATTTTTCTTATTTTAAAGAATAAATTATATTAAAATAAAATATAATAATAATTATTAAATAACTTTAATTTACTTATTTTTTAAAGCATTATTAATTAAGCATTTAAAGGAGTTAAATAAAATAAAAACATTATAAATTTAATTACTACTTAATAAAATTATTTTATTTAAGTTATTTAAATTTTTAAAACTTAAAAACATTATATAAATTAATATATTTATATTAAGAAATTTAATATAAATAAAATAATAAGTTATAATATATAAAGTAAGCATTAAAAAGTATTAAGTTAAAGAAATTTATATTTAATAATAATAATAATTATAATATATAGCATCAAATATTTATAATATTTATAATTATAAGCATACTTAATTATTTATATATAAAGGTTATATAAATAATTAAGGCTTTATTAATTTTATTAAAAATAAGATTTTACTTAAGAAATTATTAATTTTAAAGCTTAACTTAATATTAATAATAAATAATATTAATTTTTAATTTTATAATAATTATATAATTAAGCTAATATTTAGCTTAAATATTTACCTTTATATTTACTTAATCTTAACTTAATTAAAGCATTTTTTAATAATTTAAAAAAGTATATTTATTATTATTTTTAATATTATAAAGATTAATAATATATATAAAAGAATTAATAATAATTTTTTATTAACTTAATATATAAGGTTACTTTAAATATAAAAGCAATTTAAAGTTACTTTTAAAAGGTTATAATTTTTAAATTAAAACAAGCTTAAATTAATTAAATAATTAATTAATTATATATTTTAATATATATATATATTAAGCTTTAATTATTATTATAAATATTATAATATATAAATAATTTAATGTTTTTAATAATATATTATTATATTTATTAATTAAGTTTATTATAATGCTTTAAGTATAATATAATATATATTAATAATTATAAAATTATTATTTATAAAAAATATATTATAAAGAAAAGCTTAATTAAATAAATTAAATAATTTAATATTTATTTTTAATTATTTATTAAAAAGTATTTACTTTCAAGGTAATTAAATATATTTAATGCATAAAATATTAATTTATTATACTTATATACTTAACATTTAAATAATTAACTTTATATAATTATACCTTTATTAAATAAAATTATATAAATAATTTATTTTTTATATTAAATAACTTTATTTTTATATTATTTAATAAGTTATTTTATATATATTTATAATATTTAAAAAATATAAAAAAAATTAATAAATAAGTATTATTAAATAGCAAAAGAAAAGTTTATTAATAATAACTTTTTTAATAATTTAAAGCAATAAAATTAAATTTATAACCTTTTAATTATATAATATAATTTAATTATTATTATTTTAAAGCATTAAAGGCTTTTTATTATTAAATTAAAGGTAATAAAGAGAATAATTTATATAATTAAGAAAGGTATAAATTAAAGTAAGTATAATATATATATATATTAACTTTAAATTATTATAATATTATTAAAGAAATTATAAATACAATATAATTTTTATATTAAATAATTTAAATTTATATTTTATTATTAATAATAATAATATTATTATTAATATATTATAAGCTAGCCTTATATTTTTAAAGCTGTAAATACTTAAATAAGGTTAATATTTAAAGTATAAAGAAATAAATTTACTCTTTATTTATATTTATATTAAAACTTATTTTTATAAGGTTAAAGCTTATTAATTAATTATAATAAGCAAAGCTTAAATTATAGTATATCCTTTTTTTTAAAGTTTTATAATAAGTTTAAAAAAGTAATTATTTTAATAAAAATAAAGAATATTATAATTTAATTATAAATTAAATATTGCCCTTTATTTAATTATTTAATTATATTTTAACACTTTTTAAATATATTAAAAGCTTAGCTTATTTTTTATAATTAATATATCTTTAATCTTTATAATTTTATATATTAAATAATAAAATTAATTATTTAAATATAAGCTAGCTATTAAGCTAATAATATTATTATAATTTTTTAATATAAATTATTTATATATAGTTTCTTATTTAAAGCTTTAAAATTATAAAGTTATTATATATCTTATAATTAATTAACATTTAATATATTAATAATTTACTTTTTTAATAAAACTCTTTTTAAAGTTAAATATACCTTATAATATTGCATTAATTAATATATAATTAATATATTTTAAGCTTAAGCTAATATTAAGCTAATTATACTTTAAAGCTTATCTTATAAAAAAAAATTATATACCCTTAAATAAATCTTTTTTCTTATTAACCTTAATTAATAAAAACTATACTTTTATTATTTTATAATAATTAAAATAATTATATTTATAATATTTAAGTTAATTATATATAAAATACTTAATTTTGCCTATTAAAATTATTATAATATTAATATTTATTATTTTATTATTTTAAAATTAAGTATTATTCTTTTTTATTATAATATTAAAAATACCCTTATATTATTATAAAGTAAAGTAAAAAACCTTAAATATTTTTAATTACTTTTAATAATTAAATTAAGCTTTTATTATAAAAGTTAAATTATTAATTATTAATAATATTTTATATTTATTTAATTAATTTTAAGTTTTTATTATATAAATTAAATAATTAAATTAAGTAAAAGATTTTATTATTTCCTTTTTATAATACTATTATAATATAATTAAATTAAGCATAATATATTTTTACTTAAAAAGGTCTTTAAATAAAAGATAAATTTTCTTTAAAAAGCTTTTTAATTACCTTTTAAATATTTTTATAAAATTAATATAAAATAAAAACATTAATTATAAAAAGTTCTTAATTAATTACTTTTTTATTTATTATAAACTTAATTTTTATTTTTATTAATTAAGTTATTAAATATTTTTAAGATAAAAGTATTTTAAAATAAAAAAAAGCTTAATAAGCTATTATTTTTTTTTAAGTTTTATTATATTAAATTTTATATAATTATATTATAAATTTATAATATAAAAAAACTTTAAATATATATTATAAGCTAGTTTTAAATTATTTATTATAAAGTGTTTAAATAAAATTTATATTTAAAACATAAAAAAAAGATTTACTTTTTATTTATATTTATATTAAAGCTTATTTATATAAGATTAAAGCTTATTAATTAATTATAATAAATAAAGCTTAAATTATAATATTTATTATATTATAAATATTAATATTAACTTTATTACTTTTTACTTATTATTATTATAATAATAAAATTAATACTTAAAATACTTTTTTATATATAATAAATAAGTTATAATTAATTCTTTATATTAATAATATTATTTTTAAATCCCTTAATTACCCTTAAAAATGTTAATAAGCTTAATATACCCTTTTTTAATACATTATATTCTTATATAAAGTCTTTTATATATTAATAAAGAAAGCTTTTTAAGTTTATTTTAAATTAATAATTAATAAACTATTTATTTAATTATATTAAAAGGTTTTTAAGTATTTTTAAGCCTGCATTTTAAAGCTTTATAACTAAGCAACTTATTTCCTATTTTTTTTAATAATGCTGGGCCCTTTAATAATATATATATTAAAGAAAGTTATTTAATAACTTATTACTTTTAAGGCTATTAAATATTATTAAAAATAATAAAAATATTAATAAATAATATAATAATAGCAATATAACCTTTATTATTAATATTTTAATAAAAAAGGGCCTTTAATAATATATATATAATTATTTATAATATTAATAACGGTAAAGTTAATTATTAAGGCATTAAATAACCGTTAAAGGCATTTATAAATATTAATATAAATTAATT